GCCACAGAACACACTTCCTGCAGTCATGCTCCAGCTTCAGGGCTTTGGAGACTGAGGCCTGCAGGAGACTTCAAAAGCTCTACAGAAACCACTGAACAGCACAACCATCAGACAGCTCCCTGGATGAGCAGGCAGATGTGAACCAGGGCACCTCAGCCCTCCTCAGATAAATACAGAGCCAAGTCTTGTTGTGTTTTAGAGGGAGCTGCCAAGAATTCTATCAAAGATTCTCATGGGCAGGTACAGTGATCACATCCCCTGCTGCTGGCAAGCAACATCAGAAAGGGAACAACTGAAGTTAAAAGGGAGGAGGTAACCTTAAATCATTAAAACAAGAGAAAATTGAGGCCTTTAATTGGGAAACTGTGGCACAGACACATTAGTGTCCAAACCAGTGACAGCATATGACCCTGGGTGAGGAGCCAATTTACTTGTGGTTTGTCTCAACCCTAGTTGTCAGAGGCACATGGGGAAGGGGTTATACGTGTGCCACGTCCACGAGCACTGAGGAGAAGATGGAGGAAAGCCTTGTCTCTGGGGACACTTGGCCTGGCAGCCAGTTCATGTGCCACATGGGACAGGCTGTCAGCAGGGGAACCCCAAAGGCACTGTACCCCAGGGACACTCTGCAATCCATGGCAGAAGGTCTCTGCTGATGGACTGCACTGGGACATTGGACTGGGCCAGTGGTCTCCTGTCAGCAGGCAGGCTTTGGGAGGAGAGAGGGGCATAAAAATAACTGCAACACAACCCGTGGTGTTTTTTCAAACCTGGCTTTTTGAGTGGGGTGCAACTTTGGAGACTGTGCTTTTTGCTTTTGGGGGGGCTTTGAGACTTGCATTTTGAGTCGGGGGTCTTTTTTATATCTTGTTTCTTCTTTGACTCCAGCCTGCTGAGGCCCTCACTGGATCTTGCTCACCCTCACATATGTCCCATCTCCCTGCATCCCTGACTGATGCCCTGCCTGCTTCATCTCTGTGTCCCTGAGCCACCTGTGTCCCTGAGCCACCTGTGTCCAGCCCTCCCCGCCTCCAAACCAGGCCTCTGTCTCTCCCCCCCACCACCCAGTTCCTTTCCCATTTTTCTTCCTCTTGCTCTGTCTCTTCTAGCCATCTTTAGCAGAGTAACTATTTTTTTATTTTGGGTTTTTTTTGTTACCTATAAATGTTTGTCTCAGTTGACTTAATTTCTTAATTTCGTTCCTGACCATCTAATTCTAGAAGAGCTGCTCGCAGTTTCCCTCAGTGTAAGGCAACACCTCCCTCATGCAATACTGTAGTGCAAGAGCAGGTTCCTGCCAGGCTCTGATTGTTCTGCTAAAACACCTCAGCCAGGAGCTGGGAACAGAGAGATTCCTCCATGAAGAAAAAGCAATTTTGAGAGGGTTAGTCCAGTCTAGTGGCAGTGTAACCCTATCCTGGACACGAGTGCAAGGAGCTCACACTGCGCTCTGCCCCCAGGGAAGGCTCCTGCAGAGTTTTCTGAGCTGGAAGTCTCTGCCTCTCTCTGCAGCAGACAATGCCATCGTGCGGCAGTTCCTGCTTCCTGGGCTGACCCATCCAGGCTAAAAACTGCTGCTTCTATCCCAGAGATAATAAGCAAACTCCTGTCCTGCTGAAGTGTTTCCATAGCATGAGGACACCCCTTAGCAGGATGCAGGCAGGCCCTATACAGATCTTTCTCCAATTTCCAACTGCAGGATTTAAAGGAAAAGCCATTTTTGGGAAAGGGTTAAACCAAGCCCCTGGGAAGCTCATGACCTGCGGTCTCTTTGGGACTTTTGAGACCCTTTGGGACTCAGCAGAGGCTGAGGGGTTCCAGTGGCAGCAGCTTGAGGTGGGATGTGTGACCAAGACTATGTGTCACAGCAGCAGATGTCCTGGCTCCTCAATCCCGTAGCAGTTTTTAGTTCTCCAGAGTATGCATGACCACATCTCATGTAAAATTAAGATTAAATACACTGCGGACAAGCAGCTGGAGCTGCCAAGGGGTGCGAAGAGGATTTGTCTTTTTCTGTAGAGAAACCCAAGTGCTTACTTCTCTGGCCCATGTAGTAAAGAGTCACCTTTTCCCATTCCCTCAGTGGCTATTTCTTCTTAATATAATAAATAAGCACGTGCAGACTGGGAAGGTCATGGTGTTCCAGCACCAACACTGAACCAACCAGAACAAAACTCAAATAATCTAAACACCACAGAGAACCAATACCTTTCATTCTTTAACCTAACAACCTTTTGGCTTCAGCAAAATGTCACAATTGTCTTTCACAATCCATCCTTTCCATTATCCTTTCATTGCTGAAGCCCTTGATTTAATGACCCTGTCTGGTCAGCACAAACTGGCTCCTTTTGTGAAGTAGTTATAAATAAGATTAATCAGTCTTTTATTAGGTCGGTGTTAAATTCAGTCATTTAAAAGTTCCTGATTTGTCAATTCACGTTGCTGTCCACAGTTCTCCTCCAAGTCAAGTAAAGGAGGATGCAGATACACTTGTGTGCAGTGCCTCCATCAGCAGTTCCATCCGTGCTTGCTCGGATGATGCAAACCTCAGACTGTCACTGCAGCATCAAAGATTACCTTCCTCGGTATCCACGCCTGCTTCCTGAGCTCTGTGCACTAGAACAGCACACTGCAGGGATGTAGAGGTGAAGCACAGGATCCATGACACTCCGTCCAGCAATTTCCAGAGTCTTAAAAAACAATTTCCTATTCCTCTTTTGTCAAGGTCTGGCTTGCCTTATATTCCCACTGCTCAACACCCGAGGGATTGCAGCCCACAGGGGAGCAAAAGGCTCTCTGGTGGCAAATACAAATTACAGAGGCAAATACAGTCCATTTCTGCCCTTGACTGTTCACTATTAAATCATCTTTTGAAGATTAACTTTTAAGGGTCACTTCCTTGTACCACTGTCCAAGTTTGGGGAGCAGCTTCCACTGGCCCTTTGACTTGAGAGGCGTGAGGCCACTCTTTTTCTGCAGTCCTGGTAACTGTTTCAGTTGTTAAAAGTACCTGAAAGGGACCTTCCCATGCTGCTGTTAAGGTATAATTGTTCCAAGATTTTATGAGAACCCAATCTCCTGGTTTTACCTGGTGTATGTGAAAGTCTAGAGGTGTTGTTTGGGGTAACAACTCTTTTCTTCTAAGATCCATGAGAGAGAGTGCAATTGCCTGAAATAATTTCTGAGATATAAGCCATTAGTTTCAGCCACTGGCAACCCCTCCTCCCTTCCCAGATAAGGTAACCCAAATAACATTTCATAGGGAGAAACTCCTCTGCCCTTTCTTGGAGCAGTTCTGATCCCTAATAATGCTGATCTGGTTTCAATCATTAATTTGGTAATATGGTTCTTAAGGATAGCATTCATTCTCTCCACACATCCAGAGCTTTGAGGGTGCCACAGGGTATGAAATTTGCAATGTTTAATACAACACATCTAGAATATAAAATTTTTGAAGTAAAGTGTGTTCCTTTATCTGAGTCTATTCTTTCAATTATCCCATATGGGAGTGGTTTGTTCTAATAGCATCTTAGCCACTTTGGAGCCAGTTGCAGTTGAGGTAGGAAAGGCTTCTACCCAGTGGGGTGATTGTTATAAGTAAAAATAAAAATTGACCCAATCATAATAAAAATAAAACCAAAAAAATTTATTCACGACCGTATTACAGTCCCGACAGCCACCAATAAAAAAATGACAGTGCAGAGCCTGGGATACAGGCTGGGTGGACACAGATCCGGCCTCTATCGCACCGAACCCCCTTCTTCCACCCTTGCTGCTCTGCAGGGACAGTTCTTACTCTCTTTTTCTTGCCCGTGGCAGAGTCCCTTTGTCTTCTTTCAAAGTTCATCATATTCATGTTGGTTTCTTTCTTCACTCAAAGCTGCACAAAACCTCGTCCGGGAAGAGACAAATGTTCCTCCTCCGGTTCCCGGAATCCTGTATTCAGGTGGAAGGTGTTGATGGCCCTGGTTATCTCAGATGGGTGTCCTCATGGGCCATCATCACTGGGCATCCTCGGGTACATGCCCCCCTGAACTACCATCTCCTGTGCAGCCGAGTTTCCTTCGTATGTTAATGCCGAGTTCCACCCTTGCCAGCCAGCCAAGCTGTCATGCTAGGATTAAACCCTGGTCCCCCCTTTAATAGCATGCTTGATACATATATCTATGATCCATTGGCACGAATTTCTATCATATCCCTAACAGTGATCAACTGTTACAAGAAGGTATTTCCATCTCTGTATTCTGGGGAACTCAGTGTAATCTATTTGCATATTTTGAAAGGGTCTAAGGGCTAGGGCTCTTCCCTCACTAGGGTGTTTTCTCATCACTTTCTTATTTTTATCTTTTGACAAATTGAGCATTGTTCAGTCTCTATTTGGTTCCTGTATAGACTCCCTCACAGCAATAAGTGCTTCAGAACTGATCACACAGTGCTTGAGCTCTCCAGTGTATTCCTTGGTGTAGCTTAATTAAAATTTCTCTAGCAATTACTTTATTCATTATCTGCCTCCCTTCCCTGCCCAGCTGCAACCAGAACTACAGCAAAGGGGAAGTGCCTGCAGCCGAGGGAGGGCTGTGGTTGGGTACCTGGTTCTGTTTGTTGTTGCTGCCACTGTTGTTTCTGTTTGCCTTGTTATACATACTAGTAAAGGACGGCTACTCCTCTCCCATATCTTTGCCCGAAAGCCCCATTAATTTCAGTTATAGTGATTTGGAGGGAAGCGGGCCCCATTCTCCATTCCAGAGAGGTCCCGCAGACACCTGTCTTTCCAACCAAGACAAGCTGACAATTAACGATTTATTGCCAATTGTTTAATTAACAATTAACTAACAGATAGTTAGTTAACTTAGGTAACTAAAAGATAAGCTAGAGGTGTTCACTGGAGCTTGGAAGGGTAGCTGCAGAGGTCTCTGGTGAAGGGTGGGAGACCATCAGCAGCAGAAGGCACGATGTTGCTGGCTCCTGCCAGATGCTCCAGCTGACACCAATGCTGTCACTCAGGTAGATGTTGGTTTCCAGTGCACCTGCTTCTTGGGTCTCGGGACCCAAGACGCAGGTGCACTCTCCTTTCTCCGCCGTAACACAGAGCGTTTCGGTTTACCAAAACTCCTCTTCTTCTTCTTCTTCTCCCGGGCTCTGCCTTTCAAAATCACCCGCACTTTCTTCTGAGTTGGCCTCAGGTTAGGAATCCTAGGAAGAAGGGGACTGGTATTAGCCAGAGGAACATTTCCAGCCAGCTGCTTTTCTGTCTCCTTGCAGAGCACACAGTGTTGCATCCTCTCTCTGTGCAAGCAGCGAGCAGCAGATTAAACAACTGCACTTGCTGCATGGAGGCTGCAGAGGTGCAAGGGCAGGAATGTGACAAGTTAAATGCCTGGGAACCAACTACAGCACACAGGGCTCCATGTAGAGAAGCAGGCCTTGCTTGTCCCAAAAGGAAGCAGAGCTAGGGACTGGCTGGTTCCCAGATCTCTCGTTCCAGATTTGCAACCCTCCAGGAGCTTGATGTTTCACACAGTGTCTTCTCCCAGTGTCTCCCTACCAAGGCCAGATGATGATCTTTCTGTGCTCCTGTGGGTGTTTCTGTTGCCTCTCTGGGGCTGCCTGACTCCAGGCCCACCTCCCCATCCCAGTCAGAGGGACTGAAGGGAGGGTGTTAGGGGCTGAACCAGGCTGTGCTTGGTGATGCCCAGCAATAGGACAAGAGGCAATGGGCAGAACCTGAACAGGGAATTCCACCTGAACTGTGGAAGAACATCTTTCCTGTGTAGATGACAGCTTGCCCAGAGAAGGTGTGGAATGTCCCTCACTGGAATTATTCCAGAGCTCTCTGGACACAACCCTGTGCTCTGGGATGACCCCACCTGAGCAGGGCAGTGGGACCTACTGTGGTCCCTTCCACCCTGCCCCACCCTGTGATTCAGTGATACCCATCGGTAGCATGAATTGGCAGAGACGCTTCCCACCTGCACAGCATGGTGGTCTCAAACTTCCCCGCGCACTTCGGGGAGAACCGCACGTGAAAGGTCTGCTTCTGGCCAGGAGCAAGGGTGCCACGGTAGGGGTCGATGGAGAACAGTGCCAGGTCATCGGTGAAATCTGGCAAGACTTCCATGGAGGAAGTGACGTGCTTCAGCGAGAGGTGCTTTTTCTCTGAGCGGCGTCGCTTCTTGGAACGGACTGGCTTCTTGGGCTGCTCGGGCTGCTCGTGCTGCTGCTCGGAAGCCTGCTGCTGCTGCTGCTCGGAAGCCTGCTGCTGCTGCTGCTCGGAATCCTGCTGCTGCTGCTGCTTGGAATCCTTTTTCCGCTTCTTAGAACCCATCAGCTGTTTGGGATCTACCCCTATCAGCCGGCACCACCACCGCATAAACAGCTCATTCTTATCAGGCCGTCGCTCCCGCGGCCGTACTTTAGGACGCCTCCTAGCAAGACGGGCCAGGTACCGCCAGTAACGATGCAGCAGCTTTCTGCGATTCTTTACAGTTGCATAGGAGAGGAACCGACCTGCAGGGAGCAAGAGGACACCTTTCAAAGACCTATGTTCCCAGCAACTCTGCCTCCTGCTGCACCTGTAGGTGGAAGGGTGGAGGTGGGATGCACTTGGATCATCTCTGGCCAAGTACTTTTTTCTAGCAGGAAATAGAGTGCCTGGGAGCAGGGTCTCTGCCTGCAGCACACATTTCTGTGCCAAAGCAGTAGAGTTGCTTTTAGACAGTGACTTTGCATTTGCCCTGGAGTGGGGAACTGCACACAGACAGTGGCTGCAGGGCAGCTCACTTATTACACGACTGTTTTTCCCAGTCTCAGACTTCTCAAAGAGATGACCTGATGTCCCCCTTCCCAGTCCTGACCCAGCATGTGGCTGTCCCCAGAGCCTGGCTCAGTCCTCTGCAGAGCAGAAGTGGCAGAGCAAGAACAGAAAAGGCTGAAAGGCAGAGAGGGACAAGGAGAAAACTCTCCAGCTGCCACTGGGAAGATGCTGAGGAAAGTGGACGTGTGGACAAGGATGAAAAAGCAATTCGTGTTTTGGGGTGAAACGCCCTTACGCATCAGAGTGATTGAGTACGGCTTCTTCGCTGGTTTATCTGCAGGTTCCTCCCAGTAGTATTCCAAGGCTACCTTCCCTGTGTTGTGCATGCTGAAACTGAAAAGCAAAAAGGAGGAATTAAAAAAATGTCCAATAAATATAAAGCAAATAGTATAGTAACATTGTCTGATGGACTCCTGGTACCACTTTCTGCTGAGGAGCATCTTCTTCCCCAGGCAACCCTGCCATGCTCAGACTGCTGTGCTAGGTGGCCCAAAACAGTATTTCCAAGTCTGAATGTTTAAGAGGAAAGGGCCAACATGGTGCCCAGGACATTGAAGCTAAGGGGCTTACTCTGGACTTTAGGTCTTGGTTTCACTGCAAACTTATTCTTGAGCAGATGAGGAAAGGTGACATGCAGTGAGCAAACTCATGGCTGCTCTCAGCAGAAAGGTATGACAGCATTGAACCTCTCCTGACCACCACACCTGCTTGGCTTTGTGTGCACGTAAATGGGCCTGTGCTGGTTTGGGCAGAGTTCTGGGAAGCAGGTACCGGGCCGGCCCTGGGCAAAGGCAGGCCTCCAGCACTCACGTGGCTGTCCTTGTGTGGAAGGGCAAGGTATCCTTGAACTGAACCACCACTGTGTTCAACTTCAACTCGGGGTAGCCAACAACAGCACTGAGGTACACCTCGACCTCCTGGCTGCTGTCCTCCACCACAGTGTGAACCGGTTCCGGGGCTATCTTGACCACCTGCAAACAGAGGAGGGAGGAATCACTGAGCAGAACCCAGAAGGTCAGGCTGAGAAGGGGATCTTCTGGCCTCCAAGATCAGCCTCACAGAGGGATTAGAAAGGACCATCCACTTTTACTTCCCTGGAAAGATGACAAAATTGGGACTGTTCTGCTACAGTAGATGCTTCTACCCACCGATCAAAGCAGTCACTACCACAGCTGTTAATATCCCCATGGAGACTACAGCTGTGCTCCAGTCTCTGTACTTCAACATTGTAGAGGGACTGACTCTTTTCCTGGTCCCCTATAAATCCAGCAGGTCTCAAAATTTGGTTTAAGTTCCCCTGCTGGAGCTCTGTGGATGTAGAACCCCAAGACTGAAGAGTTCTATAAAGCACCTTTTTCTTCTTGTCTTAGGAGAAAGTGCTCTCCAGATGTCTTGTGTGGACTAACAGCCACACTGCTGGGAACCGGGGATGGGCATTTTGGGATGTGAAAGATCTCACTAGGAAAGTCTCCAACTGCAGACGTTCTGATAGAAAAGAGGATGGTTTAGAGGCCTTAAAATGGTCCAGAAACTCAGAAAAAACCTTCACCCAAGAAGAGTGTGCATGGCAATAATGACAATAAAGGCAAGAGTCTCTGGAGATGATCCTTCTCTGGACTCCTCCATAGAGTCATACAGTGCCTGAGCTACTTCGTGATGAGATATGCCACACCAGAGACCACAACCAAATTCTCTGGGATCCATGCAGACAAAACTCCAGCATATGCACTTCTCCTGCATATGCTGGAGTTCACCAGCATATGCAGGAGAAGTGGATTTCTCTCCACTTCAAAAGAAGAGACAGAATGCAGCAGACTTGTTGGTGAAAAGGCACCAAATGAGATGAAGAGATTTCTAGCACCATAAAACGGGATAAAATTGTAAAACATTGTCCCCCATTCAACATAGGCTGCAACACTTGTGCTTGTGGCACAGACTGACGGTTTGTGTGTGGCCAAAGGTCTCTTGTCAAAAGGCTTCCCCTCTTGTGCGAGTGTATCTGGTCACTGTGCATCCACCTCTCCCCTGGAATGCACTGCTGGTGAACCTCACGGCTGTCCAATGCCAGAGGAAGCAGGAGCTGCTGAGGCAGCAGTGATGGGGTTATGGTGGTTATTTTTGTAAAAGCTGGGTTGGCTTTTTTTTTTGCCATTTTGCTTCTTACCCTCTCTATTTTAGGGGATTTGTCTCCTGGGTCTTTGCTGGGGGTACTCCACCATGACATAATGAGCTTTTGGTCGTCCCAGTCAGGAACCTTCCTTGGTGGCAGGTCAAAGTCGATCTTGGTCACCTTACATTTCACAAGGTGCCTCCTGAAGGTGGCTGGGACATCTGATTTCAAGGTCACTGTGATCTCCTTGGAACGGCGAGGACGGAGGTGTCCCACCTAGGGAGAATCAGGGAATCAAGACCAAACTGGAAGCACTGCTAAGGGTAGGAATGACAGCAAAAGGGACTGATGTGAGCAGCTGTGCCAGGAATCTGCACCTCAGAGTGGATTTGTGTGAAGTTTGATAGACAGAAGTATGAACAGAAGGTGCCACCTCCCATAACATGAAGCCTTTTCTGCAAGGTTGGCAGCCTTGGCCCAGCCAAGCCAGGGACTGCATCTCCTACATGGCACTGGGCTCTCAGTGGTATGTGAGGACTCCTTGCCAGCTCCTGGGAACACCAGGGCAGGGCTTGAGCAATGGGGAAGGGCAGAGCAGTCTACGCTCACCTTGGGGGACAACTGGAATGGGCCGTCTGCTTCCCACTCAAAGCGCATGAACTGGTGACGGGTGCGGTTGGCCATGGTGAAGGTCCTGCGGCAGCGCTTCCTGACAGGACAGTCCCCAAACTGGATATGGTTCACTCTGACAGCTGTAAAGGAGGAGAGCAAGGGATCTCAGCATGCAGGGAGCTCCACCTGCCCCCCTCATGTGCACAGACACCTGCACGTTCAATGCTTCCTTGCTCCAAGCCTTCCTCCCTCTGGAGGGAGCTCCCCTGACAGTTCCCCATCCCACCACTTCCAGGGAAACATCCTGACACATCCCTAAGCCAGCGACGTGCAACACAGCACACACTGCTGTGCATACATGGCTGCCACACCCACAGGCCACCAAGGCCCGTGGGTGACAGCCCAGGCCTGGCTAGAGAGAGGACACATGTGATTGGACATTTTCCTCTTCCTTGTCCACCTTGGCAGCCTCTCCTCTCTTACCATCAATGATGTCTTTGTTCAGACTGCTCTTAGCATTCCTCTCCAGGAAGTCTTCCTCTAGTCCAAGGAGGGTGAATTTGTCCTTGTGGCCTTCACCCACCAGCTCTACTAGGATCTTGTTAGAGTAGATGTCCCCCACCAACAGACGAATCTTCCCTTCCAGACGTTGAGCCAGGGTGGGTTTGAAAATGACATCAAACTCTGTCGATTGCCCACAATGCAGAAGGAAGAAAGGCTTTGTGGGCTTGCTCTCTGCACAGCAATGGAAATCAGAGTTAAGCGATACAGCTGTAGAGAGGAAATATTTCCATAGGATATATGAGGAATAAGAGGATGAAACCAGCTGCCTTCTAAGCACACGTTCTACTTCCAGTGGTTCCAGACCCTCTTCCTATGTTCACAAGACTGCCACCTCCAGACACAGCACCACTTAAGCAGCTTAACCTCAGGCTGATGCCCATGCCTCATTCCATCTGCTTCCAGCCAGCTCCAGCCATATGCAAAGTTAAGCCAGAGTGCTTTTGGCTTCTGCTGGCTGTCTGTGTGCTCAAGGGCTGTGTCTGTTCAGGTTGGTACCTTCTTACATGCAGCAAATGCCTCAGAGGGTCCACTGAGGTAGTGACAGTCCCCCACAAATCAACCCACCATGTCTAGAAAAACAGAAGAACTTCCTACAACTTGCTAGGAGGAAACCCTGCAAAAAGGCCCCAGGAAAAGCTTGGGGCACAGAGAGCCCAAGGAATAAAAGTGTGCCTAACATCTGGCTGCTGCTCAGAGAAGCCAAGAGCAGAGGACACATTTTCCCTCTGTGCAGGATCACACTTCATGGTTAATGAATTTACCATTTCCAACGGAGTCCTCTTCCACATCTTCAGTGTGGAATACCTTGAGTGTGGAGGCTCTGCCTTTCAAGAAGAACGCTCCGTACTCGTGCTCCAGGCGTAACATAAACTGAGAAAAGGGAACCCAGAGCACAGTGATGCTGGTGTGAGTACAGGATGGCACAGGGACTGACACCACAGTGCTGCTGGTCCCACATGGCAACCCAGCGCCTCTCCCACTACTAACAGCACTTAGCACAAAAGTTAAGTCAAACCAGACAAGAAAAAAGGGAGTTCGGAGAGGCCTCTGGATAGAACTGACACAGAACCAAACAGGACAGAAAGTAACAAGCAGAATGTAATTAAACCACATCTAAGTCTACTTAAAATGTAGTAAACGGGGATCAAATGCAATCTAATGGAACTGGAAAATCACACATGTCCATGAGAACAAAAGGTGACCTGATATATATATATATTTATATATATATGCTTAAAGAAGACAGACTGGACAGAAAATTTCCAGGAACTCCCTTCTTGGAGAACAGACGTCAGTCACTTGCTTAAAAAGAATTTCTGACACCTCTTTCCAGGTCTGCCATGTTTTTTGGGACCCTTCCCCTGTGCCACAAGCACTTGTTCCCAAACCAGACCATCCCTTGAGCAGGTCCTCCTCACCTTGAGAGGGATGATGCCGTCGTTCCGGATGACCAGGGGCAGCACCTCGGAACGCCCCACCCGGAGCCTCTTGAAGCGCAGCACGGCTGTTCCCCTCTTGCTGCGAGCGCACGGGCACACGACTGTCAGCTGCGGCTCGTGCGCCTTCCCGCTGATGGTGAAGGTCAGGGTTTGGGGTTTAATTTTCACAGAGCTGCAGGAGAGGCACAGAAACAATTTCAGCTGGCACTTACCCATTTGTCACTAGGCAAGCGAAGCAGCAAGGGCCACCCACAGTGTTTTCCCTGCCTGGCGCTCCTGTACCCCACAACACAGCCCCCCCCACCAGCCTCTTCCCAATCCACTCAGGGCCGTTCACAAGAGGAACCTGCTCCAAAGAGCCTGAGCCTTCCACAATAACAGTTAAAAATAATTTCACTTAATTGAATCATGCAGTACAGCAGGTAAATAATGAGGCACCAGATGAGGTATGGCAAATCCCCTGGCTGCAGTGAGATAAGACTTATGCAACAAGCAAAAGCACAGCATGAAAGCAGTACAGAGGCAAGAAGGCAAAAACACATCATCGTCACCATCAGTAAAGATCATTTCCAAGAACAGTAAGAAAAGCAATTGCTTATTAGCAATTAGACTTCTGTTGTTCCAATTCAGCTACTAAAGAGTTGAGGAAGGGCAGGTCAAAGCCCCAGCACACAGGTCCCAGGACAGAGGAACTGGGCTCCTCTTTCCTACCAGCTCCAATCACTCACATAAAACAGCTTAACGAATGCCAGGGATTCACAGAGGATCACCTAATTTTACAGAAACAAAGAGGAAATTGTGACTGCTGACTTGCTGGTACAGAGACTGCTTCATCCAAGCCTTTGTCCTTGGAAACCCTCAGCTCAGCTGCAGCACATCTCAGTAACTTCCAGTTGGGTAGCTAATATTTGCCTGTCTTCGTAGCTCCTCATACAGGCTAAACCATCAGCCTCATTTTTCTGCTCTATCTAAGTTACTGCCTCTCAGATCATCTCATGCCAAGTACTCTGCCTAAGGCTATTGAAAGCATTAGAGCTAACAAGAGGTCTGTGCCTTCCCAGGGGAGAGGCAGCTATCAGTGAGGCCTCCCCCAATATTTCACAGGGTCAGTTACCCTTTTGGGATGACAAGGGAAGCCTTGAAAGTGAGCAAGGAAGGATGACTTCATGGCCCAAAAGCAGCCCCAGGCTGAGAGCAGCAAGCCAAGAGGAGCTGCAAATCTGTCCCAAGGGGCAGAGAGAAAGGAGTTTGAGTGTAAAGAATGAAGGTGGTGGCTGTGATCCTTCAATCTCCGTAGGTAACAGAAGAGAGCAGAAATAGCTGTGAGAAATGATAGGAGAGAGGTAGGGGACTGTAAAGAAGAAAAAGCAATGTTGTCTGAGCTCTGTGGACTGGCAGTTCAGTGGGGGATGGTTTTGCTTCTGAGGTGTTCACAGACCTATGCTGGCTAGCAGCTACCAAACACAGGACCTGCTCCCCTCTGTTGACCCCACAACTCCAGGTCAGAGCCAGAATACAGGACTGTCAGTGGGACTGAGCAGATACTGGTCTTGCAGACCATGTCCCACCTTGTGGCAATGAGACCCCAGCCTGGGCACAGCAGCATCTTCTCACATCCCCTGCAACAGCACTGCTGGGGAGCAGGAGTCACCCACCTGTGTCAAGGAGCTTGATTTCCTTGCTGTTGATTGTTTTGTAGCTGATGGAGCAGATTCCCCTTGCTTTGAACTGAGAGGAGAAAGCAGAGGTATCTGTCATTTGAACTCCCCTGCCTTTCTTTCTCTGAGGCTAAAGCTGGCCTTCCTCCTCTGACAGGAAAGCCCTTCTGCTCCTGATGGCTCCCAGAGAGCAGCCAGCAGCTCCCATTGCTGGACTGAGCAGCTCTATCACCAGCTTCATACTACACATGTGGATACCGAGGCCCTTTTCAGCCCTGTCCTGGGTTGACTTTTATCCCCAATCGTCTTGTCTTGTTTATACTGAATAATAAGTTTTACATGGTAAACAATAAAGAGACCAGCCTCTACCCCAGTCCCCAGCCTCCCCCAGTTTACCCCTCCCTGTTTAAGCGCCTCCTTCAGAGTCAGATTCTCAACTCCACTTAGGAAGCCTCCCAGATGGTTTTGAAAGACTTTGTCTGTGTGTGTTGGAGAGAGGGTTCTCCAGTTAAAGCCCTTGTTCCATGAGACACCTATCCTGTTTACGCTCCCAAAACACCATGTGATAACCCAGCCTGGCCCAGGTGGCTCACCTGGCAGTACAGGATGGGCTTGTTCTTGAGGAGCATCTCACTTGTGGGGTGGAAGAGTATCTCAACATTCACACCAGGCTGGGAGGCAATCAGGATGCCTGACTGAGGTGCAACAGTGAAGTAGGATGCCACGTCTCGCGTCCTGGGACCTGCACCCTTCAGGGTGAAACTGGGGGGAAAGGGAAGGAATGGAGATCTCTGCAGTTAAAAGCATAGGTGCCACCAGCACAGCCAGGACTTTGCACAGGACCAGAAAAAAAAAAAAAAAAAAAAAAAGGGAGACCCCAGCTCTGCTCAGGGAGTCCTGGATCTTGACAGAGAGTTCAGACAATCACAAGGTTACTGCAAGAAACCTTGACATTGAAATTTTTCATTCACTTCTTTACAGAGTCTCAGAAAAATAAAGGAGGTGAACATCAAAGAAAGGCAATGAATCTCAGCATTTCAGTGGCTGAAATTTCTGGGGCTCTGCTTTGGGTTCCTGCTGAGCTGTGAAGAACTGCTGGTTTGTGGCTGGATTCTCTGGTAGAACAATTGAGATTAAAGAGCCCAGGTTTTGTATTTCCCATGAAGTAGCCAGCATGGAAACAGGTTCTAGCCATTGACAAAGAATGCAAAAGAATCCCAGACAAAGGCCTGGGAATCTGAGGAAATGCTCACTACCAGGCAGCAGGACTCACCTGTACTCAATGTTGTATCTCCCTTTGTTCTTTAGACTCAGGACTTTCTTCACATTATCCAGGACATTAATGGTTCCAAATTCCAAGATTCCATCTGGACCTGCAGAAAACCAACAGAGTGAGGTCAAACACGGTATTTGTGAGCTGCTGCAGAACACAACAGGCCACAAGCTACATGGAGGTCTTGGTGCAAAACCCTTTCCAGCAAGTTTCTTTTCTTGAAAGTGTTTTCCAGCTACTTGTCTGCCCTTTCTCTTCTCACTCAAAATATCTGCAGGCTTAGGAGCTAAGGAGCTCAGCTTCCATTTCCTCCTTTCCAACCACAAATCCAATTACTTTATATGCTGTGCTGAGCCTGTGGGGGTTACCAACTGCCTGTTTACGGCACTGTTGTTTCAAAGCCCCCAAATCCAATCTGCATGTGAAGCTGCACACTTCAAAGTTCAGAGGGAGAGACTTAAGGCTAAGTCAGCTCCCTGACAATGCTATACTTCATGCAGGTTGCAGGGTATGTACTTTGTGTATCCATGCCATCCTTGTATCCCATCGCATCGCATCGCATCGCATCGCATCCCATCGCATCCTATCGCATCCCATCCCATCCCATCCCATCCCATCCCATCCCATCCCATCCCATCCCATCCCATCCCATCCCATCCCATCCCATCCCATCCCATCCCATCCCATCCCATCCCATCCCATCCCATCCCATCCCATCCCATCCCAACCCATCCCATCCCATCGGCTGCCCACCTCCCAAGGTAATGCAGTGCACCTGGACTGCTTTGTTTGGGAGGCATCCACTGACCTTCAGGCATGTCGATGCTCAGACAAACATCATAGACCTCTGCAAAGATTTTGATGTTTTCAGCCTGGACAATCCCCAGGATGTTTTCTGTATCTGAAACCTGAGGCAGCAAGAAACAAACACTGTTCAGATTATTCTTTTGGTAGACAGCCTGTAAGTCCTTGTCTCTGCTGGCTGCTTCCCCTGTGGCCTCCCTGGCTTCACAAGTGTGGTGGACTCCCAAGCTTTGCTAACCTGTTCCTCTCATGGGCTGCCCCAGTGGGATTCTGCTGCAGTAAAAAACCCTATCAGCCCAACTCTGCACTCCTACAGCAGGGAATGCTGCTGCTAAAGCATCCTTGAGAGGCACAGGGCTGTAAGAACAACCACAGGAAGTGTGAGGTGTCTCAGAGCAAGTGGCATTGACAACCCTCTCCAGTCACCTAGTGCCCTGTCTGAAATGCAGCCCCTAAACCATGGGGAACAAAATCCCAGGGGGAGAGTTTGTTGCACTATGCAAGAGCTTCAGACAAAGTCCAGGAGGAATGGAGAGATCACGCTGCAGGCTGTACAACCAAACAACAACCTTCAACCATTCACAGGGACAAGGTGGTTGTGGTACAGGTTCAGGAAGCAGTGTCTGATTATCTGGGGGGATGTGGATGCACTGCATGTTCCAGCAAACTCTGTGTAGAGGCAGAAGTTGGGGTCACAGCACCCTTGTGTCTGTCAGGTGCAGCTCTTCCTGACTCTGTCCCTAGGAGCACACAGCTGCTCACTGTGCCCTGCTCTGCCAAGCAGGGCACAGGCCCTCTCACCTCTAGTCGGAGGGTCTTCGCAATGCTGCCAATCTGCTCAGCCTTGAAATACAGTGTCACTTCAAACTCTGAGTGGGGATCAATGATGCCATTATCTTGTGACAAGGAGAAGTCCTCAACAAGGTCATCCAGCCCATTGAGCTGCCAGGCCATGGGCAGCAGGCCATTGTTTCTCAGGACTAAGGTCCTGCTGTCAGTCCTGCAGAGACAGGAAGGCCCTTGGCATCAGCTGCTGGATGGTCACACCAGCCTCGCCACTGAATGCAACTTGGAGCAGCTCCATCCATGCCCTGGAAACCAGAGCCAAACGTTTTCTCTTTGTCACAAGTCTTGGAGTGCTTTTGGGATGACTGACCTGTGCAGAAGCAGCTTGTCAAAATACAGCTGCCGGGGGCTGACCTCCAGCTTCACGTGCACCCCATAGCAGCACAGGCTGAAGACCACTGGGTCCGGGTTCTTCCCAATGCTGCAGATGAGCTTGTCTTCCAGGAAGCCAGGGGAAGTGGGGTATGCCCAAATGGTCAGCTCCTGGACACGGCCCCACAGGAGGAAATCAAAAGAGCTCTGTGTGTGAGCAGGAGGAGCAGCCCCTGGGCACTTCTACAGCGCCTGCTCTACCTGCCCTTCTCCTACCTGCTTCTCCTTTGGTTTCAGTGTCATGCTGGGAGGGTCCAAAAGGAATGTCTCCCCGTCATTCTCAAAGGAGAACTTGACCTCTACATCTGTCGGGGAGTTGTTGAGGATGGTGATATTCTCTGAGTTGTTGGGACAGTTCTGGGCCTTGTTGTACTGTTTCTTCTTTCTTGGGGTGCCTTCCCTGCAGGTGTAAGGAAAGTCTTTTGGAAAAGGAGTTTAGCTAACCTCTTTCATAAAAGTCATGAAACTGCTTTGGATTTCATGGATTACCTCAAAGTCTGAGAAAGAAATATAACGTATCAATTCCAAAGAAGAGTGTAAAAAGATAACAAATGACCTTTCTTTAAGGTGTGGAAATGACTTTGGAGTGAAAGGGTTAAACAGGCAAACAGAAATCCCAGACTATCCATCAACCTGGCTAAAGATTGTCTGTTTTTTAAAATATTTCGATTTCATTTCCTTGGGGTGTCAAAATAGACCTAGCCCTCCAGAGCTCCCATGGAGATAAGAACTTAATGTTAAATATTATTTTTTTAAAAAGTGACAGTAAAAGTAGAAGTACACAATAGCTTCAATGACAATGTCTTTAGGCAGACTTCATCCAGCAGTGTGGATGCAATGTCATCACAGGAAAATGTAATTCCTGCTGTATGTTCCCCCCGACACCCATTGGTAGGTCAACCATAAAATCTTATTAATAATTACTGATTAATGAAAGGTTTACAAAACCATTTACAGAACAATTGCTCAATCAGGCTACCTGCAGAGCTCAAAGCACTTCAAAAAGCACCATGAAGTTAATTTCCTATGGGTTGAAGCTGACATGTGGGGGGACACAAAAGTTGCCCCCCAAGTCACCTTTGGACTGGCAGCAGCATGCGGCTCTGGCCACCAAGGCGGCCACCAAGGCACCCACTGTGTAGGCAGAGCAGCTCCTCCAAGGCTCATTTGCCTCTTTTCTGCTCAAGTTCACACATCTGTGGTCCTTCAAACCCACGTGTCTCCCAGGACTCTGCTGGGGACTGCCCTGGATTGTGCCACCAGGACGGCATGTCTCTCCAGGCGTGTCCAGAAAAGTACAAGGCCCAGCAGGGAGCACATACCACTCTCTTGATTTCCCACACAGCAGCGGTCCAAAGTGGAATTGCTTTGTGCTCTCAACATATTCCTTAAGGATGATTTCATCTTCCTCCATGGTTTCCCTCCACTGTGGAAACACCACCCTGGGCAGAGAAAGAGGGGAAGGATATGAGACACTTCAAGTAGGAAATGCAGTCAGAGAGCCAAAACCCTTCCTGGTGGCTGAGGTACCATCTGCCTTCCCAGCTCCCAGCACAGGAAGAGGTGCTGGGCGACCTCAGGCAGCACAATCTGCCCAGGCCAGAAGCCCCAAGGGGCAGCCCTGGCTGTGAGTTCAGGGAGGCTGCCAGGGACCAGCCTTACCGTGGGTTCTGGCAGATGCTGGGGTACAGGCCGGTGCCACGGCAGGGCAGCTCGTACTGGCGCTTTGACTGCATGAGCTCAAACCTCAGTGTCTGCTCAAACTTCCCCGGCTTTTTGGTGGAGAAGTGCACCTTCAGTTCCACCTGACCGTGGGCAGGCACTATCCACCGGTACCGTTTCAGCCTGGCAATTGAAGAGGAGGTTTCAGACATTGCTGAGGAGCAAATCAAACAAGGAGGGTGCCCTCGCCATCCCCCAGCACTGGCACAGGGTCGCAGTGAAGCTGGGGACAATGGACCTTGTTTGGCAAGAGAAACAAGAAGCAGAGGCATCACCTCCTCCTCTGCAGCTCACCTGAGGAATTCTGTAGGGGTTGAGGCACTTTCCAGTGAACTTTTGGATCTTGTGGCAGAGGAATCCCAGGGACTTTCTGTTCTCTGTGCGGAGCTGTGCTTCTCCTTTGCAGAGCTGTCTCTGCTGGCTGCTTTACCTGTCTTTGGTTGGCCCTTGGCAGAACTGCCCTTTGCATGTGGGGCCTTGGCCTAAGGGGAGAGAGAAAAGGGAGGGAGAGGTGAGCCCTCAGACATCCCCATCCTGGAAAGCAAAATGGGGGTTTGTTCACCAATGGAAGAGAGAAAAAATAAATAAATCCTCCTGCCCAGGGACTTGGTCTTCCTTACTGGTGTTTGTTTTGCCTAGGACACCCCTTCTCACTCAGGACCCTCTCCTCAAAGGAAGTTCATGGTTTTAAGTGTTTTTTTTCCCCTCTTATCGTACAGAACTGCTCTGTCTCCAGCAGAGCTGTCTCTTTTCTCCCATCCCTGACAGAAAGGAGACTTGCAGACACAGGGCCGCATCACGTCTTCACTACTTCTCCACAATGCTCCCTTTCCATCCAAACTGTCTCCCATGTCCCCGTCTAGCCTTCAGTGCCAGCACCACTGGAGCACCCACCAGATTGTCTTCCACAGCAGCACCTTCAGGTGCCACAATGGTGAAGGGCTCCACACGCTCTGCAGAGCTCAACCTCTCCTCTGGGTACTCAACTATGGAGAGCACACCAGCGGGGGGAAGGGGAGGGCCGTCGGGATGCAGTCCCAGATGTTTCAGCATCTAAAACAGAAGACAAAAGCCTGTTTATACTTCTGTCACCTTCATCCTCACAACTCCTTCTTTAAAGGCACTGAGCTTTTGGCAATGGGGTTTTTAATTTACATGAAGCACAAGTGCTTTGTTACGCCCAGTGGGGTGAGCAGGCTCCAGAGCAGACACAAGAGCTACAAGCAGGACCGGGAGAGAAACCTCCCCTAAGTGACTCAGCTGAAGAAAACAGTGACTGTGAGCTGCCCTGTCCTGGGATGGTTTATGATTTCCAGGCTGGGAAACTCTGAACAGATGGGATACTTGTACACAGAGCACTCCCACTTCCTGCCCATCTGAGGAATGGTGATAACCTCTCCATCCACACAGGTGACAGAGTCATTGTGGAACATCATCAGGGACCTGGACAAGGCTCTGTGCCATTATCACCTGGGGGGACACAATGCTCCAGGGCCCAAGACCACAGCAAGCTCAAGATCTGAGCCTTGCAGGGTGTTACCTCATCTTCTGTTGGCAGCTTCCCTTCCCTCAGGATCTCCCCGATCATGGCCTTCGGATCTGAGACCTGGATGTCCAGGCACGGCACCCCAACATGCTCGTCTCTGACTGCCTCCTCTGCAACTTCACTTTGCGTCTCCAGCTGAGATGACTGAAGACTCCTTTGGTCTCCACTTTTTTGTTCTGGCTTCTTCTCCACCTTCTCCTGAGGCTTATTGGTCTTCTGACCTTTATTTCCAGCTGCAGGCTGGGACTTGTTTCCCTTTTGGCTCACAGGTAACTGCATGGTACCCTGAACCCTGTCCCAGGAGGAGAAAACCTGTGCAATGTTCTGCTGCGATGACTCATAGATCTGAAACCTCAGGATCAAGTTATTCTCCATCTCAGCTGGGTCCTCTGCGATTTCAGTTTCCTCCATCTCTGCAGCTTTGGTTTCCCACTTCTCTGAGCATTTGGTTCCCCTCTTCTCTGGGGCTTTGGGTTCCTTCCCCTCTGGTGATTCGGTTTCCTTCTTCTCTGGAGGCTTGGTTTTATTCTCTGGGGGTTTGATTTCCTCCTTCTCTGGGGCCTTGGTTTTCCCCTTCTCTGGTTTTGGAGGTTGATTCCCCACAGAGACACCCTTCTTTTCCTTCTTCTGCATCTCTTCCTCCTTCTGCCTCCCTTCTTCCTGTAAGGCCTTTGCCTCCTCCTCAAGCTTTTGAGCCAGCCACTTCAGCTCCCTTCTGCAGACAAAACAGAAATCATCGCTGAGAGTCACCACCAGAAACTTGGGCTCACTAGTCCTGGCTGGCCCTGCACTTCATTCCTTGACCCTGAGGCCAGGCAGAACTGCGAGACCATTTCCGTGAATTTTCCTCAACCTGCAGAGGTTGGGAACATCCCAAGCAAGAGGACTGGTGGAAGGGGACCTCCAGGACCAGCCAAACCTAAGCCCTCAGTGCCTGTCTCTCCGGAGCAAGAATGTCTCCTTTTCCCCAACCCCACACACCTTCAGCCTCTCACTGAGGATGTCCACCAGCAGGTCCTCAGGCAGCACACAGCTCAAGCAGTTCAGCTCTTTCCCACGTCTGCTGATGATGTTCAGCTGCTGCGGTGCAGGAGCAGTGGAAACTGTGAACTGTAGTGTGAACCATTGTAAGGAAAAGAAACCACGGTGGAAAGCCCTGAACAACTACCACTGCTGGGCTTGGAGCTGGGGCTCCTCACTAGTGGAGACAAGAACAACCCTGCAGGGGAGGCTGGGGGCTCCAGGGGATGGTCCTGGAGGATCCATCCTTGGCCAGCAGACACCCAAGCTTGCAAGCCCCTGGTGCAGCCTCCCAGCACTTTGCTCACTGTCTGCAGCCACACTAGCCAGGACTGCACTTTGTGCCAGAAGTGCCAGCAAACCACTGAGAACCAGTGGAGGATCAAGTTATTCTCCATCTCAGCTGCGTCCTCTGGGATTTTCGTTTCCCCCTTCTTTGGGGCTTTGGCTTCCCCCTTCTTTGAGGCTTTGGCTTCCCCTTTCTTTGGGGTTTTGGGTGCCCCCTCTTTTGGGGCTTTGGCTTCCCCCTTCTTTGGGATTATGATTTTGCACATCTTTGGGGCTTTGTATTTCCACTTCTCTGGGATTTTGGTTTCCTTCTTCTCTGAGGGTTTGGTTTCCTTCCTCTCTGGGGCTTTGGTTTCCTTCTTTTCTGGGATTTTGGTTTCCTTCTTCTCTGGAGCTTGGGTTTCCTTCCTCTCTGGGGCTTGGGTTTCCTTCCTCTCTGAGGCTTGGGTTTCCTTCCTCTCTGGGCCTTGGGTTTCCTTCTTCTCTGGGGTCTTTGTTTCCTTATTTTCTGGGGGTCTGGTTTCCTTATTCTCTGGGGCTTCGGTTTCCTTCTCTGGAGGCTTAGTTTTTATGAGCTTCTTTTCCTGTATTATTTTATCCACTCGTGCTTTCTTCTCTTTAGGGAGGGCATTATACTCTTCCTCATCTACTCGCAAGACACGTTCTGCAATCCTGTGCACAGCTCTCTCCCACTGCAGCTCTTTAGAACAAACCAGAGGAGAAACCATGAGTGACTGCAAGCAGAGCTGAGTGCTCTGGGTCAGCTGCAAGGATTCACAGCTTTTCCTGATCGGCCTGTCATCCCAGGAGATACTGGGGAGCTCATATCCCTGCTCCAAAATTCAGACAATCCCCCAAACTATGGCTGGGTGGTGAGGTCCTGTGCTTTGCCTGGCTTAAGTGCACCAAGGCTGAGGAGAGTTGTTTGTCACTGAGCTACAGCAGCTGGCACTTGTGCCCAAGATTTAATGTTAGAAATTAAGGTGAGTCTGTGAGCCTCAGATCTCCTGCAACTCTGAGATGAGTGCTGGTTACACTGAGGCAGAAGGTGGAAGGATTAATAAAAACATTTCTTACAATCTCTGCTCCAAACCCATATACACACAGATAAGGCTGAGGGCTTGAGAGAGATTTTTTCCCCAGAGGCTTGTTTATTCTTGGTCTGAGGGTCTTTACCTGCACAGGGGACAGATGGTTCGGGGGGGCTTTGAAAAGCAAGCAGGCATCTTTCACTGCAATGGGCACAACCTTGGGAAGGAAGATGGCACTTTCTCCCCAGTCTGCTGGGCACTGGGAGCACTGTTTCCCAGAAGCAGCTCCTTCCCTGCTTCTCTTACCAGCAGGTAAAAGCACACCATCCCATACTTGATTTTAAAGCCAGCACTATGTCCCTTCTAACAACTGTGCATGCAGGTGATGCTGCTCGCACAGCGGTTCCCCTGAGGATCAAGCATTTGTCCTCCAGGAACATTGTTTCCATACACTGCACCCATCCTGCATTCCCATGTGGAGACCTGCAGCCCTGCCCCACTTGCATCACCCGTCTCCACTGAAGCTAAATCCTCCTTGTGGGAAAAGCCCAGCTGGGACCCAGACTCTGCTTCCTTCCACCAGCTCCCAACCCAGCCAGGTTCAAAACTGAGCAATGCAAAACTTCCCCCTGCACCGAGCCAGGTCTGGCCTCACCCTGCAGAGCTCAGGGTACCAACTGCCCAGCAAGTTTCATAAATGTCTCCAGTCTCACACAGAGAACAGCCCAACGAGCTGTGCAACCTGACAGTGGGCATAGGTAACTCTCTGGAGAAAAGAGCTCATCTGGAGCACGTCTCTCATTGGAAATTCCTCTGGGAGGTTGACCTTCCCTTCCTCTCATTTGTGAGGTTACACTCATAGTCCTCTTGTGCTTAATGAGCCACTTCAGAAGGCTTTCTCCTTGTTCAGGTGGGCAGCAGTTCTGCCTGCTGCCCATGAGAAGCAAGCTCAATTCAGCTTTGAGGAAATATAAAATATTTGGGAAAGAGACAGGCATGCTTTACCACCCCTAGATGAGCTCTTTTCTCCAGAGATTTACCTATGCTCACTGTCAGGTTGCACAGCTCGTTGGACTGTTCTCCATGTGAGACTGGAGACTTTTATGAAACTTCCTGGGAAGTTGGTATCCCTAGAAAAATGAACATGTGCCAAGAATGGCAGCAAAGGGGGCTATAAAAGAACACCTGACTGAGCCCTTAAAATTTATTTCATTTTTTTTTGGCAAGCCAGTGATGCACGTCACCCATGTTCCCTAAGAGACCCAAGGACTGAAAAACTGCTGCTCTGAGTAAGCAGAAGTGGACAGTCATGGTGGGTTTCTCAAGCACTGGCTCTGGGTCCTTACCAGCATTTCTCCTTACCAGCATCACCTTCGTCTTTGTCTTTCAGCTCCATGGCAGCCTTGGTGCAGAGCTCCCGGGCACAGAGCCCTGCTGGGCTCTGGTCGTTGGCCATGGCCTCTTCCACCACGGTGTCAATGCACACGTAAGCAGCGTCGTAATACTGACACAGGCCTGCTGCTATCTCTGTCTTTCCTGAGAGAGAGAGGAGCACTGCTTGGTGACACTGGCACAGGAGGCATTGCAGGGACAGGCCCTGGAAAAACTTCCAACAAGATTTCAAAGTTAAAAGGACAGTAGGAGAGCAAGTGTCCCTCCAGGGGAGGCCATGGGGGAGGCAGCTGTAGCGTGGGTACAAGCTCCGAATTCCAGAGCCAAGAGGATCATCTCCACCTCCTGTTCAGCTCAGGACTTTGCCTTAAGCACCATGGCCCACCAGGATGTGTTCCTCCTGCTTGCCCCTCTCCCTGCAGCCCTGGGCTGCAGCTCACATACCTGCCTGGGGTGGCCCATGGACAATGACAACAATCCCTCTGTGCTGCTGCGCTTCACACCTCCCTGAAGATGGGTCAATGCCCAGGTGACGCATGACAGCCCGAGAGATAGGATTCCCAGTCATTTTCACCAAGGACTCAGGACAGAATGTGACAGTCCTGTATGCTGCAGTGTAAAACCAGGGGGAAAAGTCAGCCTCCTGCCTACATTTGATCCTCACCATCCTCCCCATCCCCTAAGACCCCAGGAAAGGAGACTTGGTGAAAGCAAGATGAGCTTGTTCTTTTGTTGCTAGGAAGGTGCAAATATAAAAGAGCCAGTGATATTAGACCTGGTCCTACTGGCTGAGGAACTCATCCAGTCCTAGTCTTTGTGGCTAAGGGACACAAGGGAATATCCTGATTATTTCCCCAGTCTATGGCAGGCAGATAGGAGCTTGCTTTGGCTACACTCAGGGTTGGAAGAGGATGCCATAGCCCTTCAGCCAAGAGCTCCTCCATCAAGCTGGGGAACAGGCAGCTGCTAAAAGCATGGCCTTTCCCTGGAGAGCAGGGTGACAGAGAGTTCAGGGTGTGTGGGCTGGAGTCCCTGCTGTTACCACAGGCAAAACAGACACTGCCAAACCCTCACTGTTTTTCTGACCTGCTGCTGCCTTGCCCATGGCCTTGGCCTTGGCCTCAGCCTCAGCCCTGGCCTTGGCTTCTGCCACGGCCTTGAGCTTTGCCTGTTGAGCCTCTGGCCTCTTCTGTGCTTCATAGTCCTCCAGCACCTCTGGGGGCAGCGTCTCACCCACGGCACGGGGAGGCATCAAAAAACTCTTTTGGTACTCAGACCCCACTGCCATCCGCAGGATCTGTGTGTGGAGGGAAGAGAAACCATATGCAAGATTCCTTTTCTTGCCTTTCATCACACAGACTCAACAAACCCATTTTCTGTCTCCTCCCTTCCTCCCAACAACATTTAGTTTAGGTGCTCCCACAGCATGTCAGCAGAGCTGGCTTTGCCCTGGGGATTGCCTCCATCTCCCTGCTACAAGCCTGGGAATGCTGGAGTGATGTAAAGCTTGGGCAGCATGGACATGGGGACCAGAGCTGCCTTCTCACCTTCTCCTCCTCACAGTGATAGGTACCCTGAAAAAGAGGCATTCCCAGCATTTTGGAGAGGCTTGGAGATGGCCATTTTAAACCAGCTTGGATGCCAGATGTGTCCCTCAAAGGTTGTACTTCCAAGCCCCAGAGCCAACAAAGGGGCTGGGAAGGGAAGGGAGCCCTGGACCGAGGTGGGCAGGAACCCGCTGGCCGTGGTCCCAAGGCAAGGAGCTGTGCCAGGGGACGTGTGTGGTACCTGAGAGCCACAGCTGATCTCCTGGGGCCTCAGGGAGTAGCTGACACGTGAGGCATCCCCGGTCACCACCACCTCGTAGGTGGGGCCTCCCTCCACGTGGCACAGCACCGTGACATTGGAGATGGTGTTGAGGTGGCCAGAGAAGGTGAAGGAGACCTGCTGGCTCTCTCCTGGCTGCAGCACTCCTGACAGTGGCACGATACTGAAAGCCTGGATAGAGAACAGGAGAGACTGAGGTGTGGAGCATGGAAATGGATGCAGAAGAGCATCTTGGAGCAAAGTGCAGCTGTACCTGGAGGGGCCTATTCCCCAAACACAGCCAGAATCATCCTAATCTCATCCTGCATCCATGCCACTGACCAGTGCAGGGACCATGGGGAAAATCTTCTCCCATAGCCATGGATCAATGCATTAATTAGTGCATTACATGAAAGTGAACTGGGATGTCTCCTGGCAGCAGAAATTCTCTCTCTGATGCACAACTTGCCTTTAAAAAGCATTTCTTACTGCTTTTAGAAAAGGAGGAGACTCAGAGTGAGAGCTCTTGGAGCTCAGGGAAGGACTCCAGGTCAGCTCATCTGACTCCTGAGGCTCTTGCCCTCTGTCTCTGATTTAAAAGCTGCTTTCTCAAGGTCCTACAGCAAAAGCTCCTCCATAAATTTCCTATGGACCACCTGAGGAGTTCCAGGGGGAGCAGTGCCCTCCATAGGTGCTGCACAGCATCCTTGGGCAGCCCTGCAGCATGTCATGCACGGCCTCTCCAACAACCATCTGTTTGAGCAGCACTTTGTGATGGGCCTGCAGGGATGGGAGGCCCCTGTGTGGCCAATGCTGAGGGCCACCAGTGGGACTGGGAGCTCCAGCCCTGCTTGCCACACTGACAATGTGCAAGTGAGACACATTCCCTCTCACCATCTCCACTTCGAGGGGAGTGTGTGGGAAGTCCATGGAGCACCTCAATTCCTTCAAGCCTAGTGGGGGGTGAGGGTTTTCAGGAGTTTGTGGTGGCACCTGAAAAACAAGCCATTTTCTATGCTAGGAGGAAGAGACAGCCACTTTGCAAAGTCGATTTTTCTGGGCACAGAAACCAATCATGTGAGGTCTCCTCATGCTCTGAGACACTGACACGGTGCTGACAGCACCCACAGCCAAACCAAGTGTGGCCCCAAAGCCCAGAGCTGGAGGGAAGCCCTGTAGACAGGGCAGGTAGAGAGCGAACTACTGTCCTCAGAGGAGGAGGAATGGGTGAAAATGGCAGAAAAGCAAAGCATCAGCTAATGGAACAGGTCCAGGCAAACCAGTCTTGATCTAGACTCTCAGAAGTTTCCTCAAACACACTGTAGACCCAAGTGCCAGGCAGCCACAGGAGCAGAAAGCGCAAGAGTCACAAAGAAAACCCACCCAAGATGCTACGTGTTCAATGTCACCTGTGCTTTACCTTCAGAACAGGCTTGCTGGCAGTAATGAACCATTTGCAGGGTACTTGGAACCGGTTGTAGAGTCGGATGGTCTCAACCTTGCTCTGCCCAATGAGGATGTCAGAGAACTGCAATCTGTTCTTGGAGAGGTTGAGTGACCGTTCCAATACAGTGGCACGGAGACGGATGTTATATATGGGGCCTTCTGTCACCTGGAGAAGGACAGAGAATTCAGCGGAGGGCACAGGTGACATGTGCTGCTGTGCCCAGCCTGCTGCCCGCCCCAAGAGCTGTGGTACCTCGATGGGCAGCACCACTTCCACGTCACCCTGTGGCCTGTGGGCACTTTCAAATCGCACGTCAAACACCATGCTGTGGTTGGGGGGCAGGCCATTCGTCTGGTGCAGGTTCACGCTGAAACCTTGAACAAATGGACAAAAAGCAGCTGAGATACACATGAAACACAATGTGTGCCATAAGCACGTCAAGGCCTTACAGGTGTCCTGGCTGAGAGGCCTGGGAGAAGCCCCACGCTGTGCTGTGACCTGACAACAACTTAAGAGTGCACCTGAACACCCCTCAGACACAGTGAGCCACTGTGTGACGGAAGCACAGCCTTGCCTCAAGGCCTCTTTTGGAAGCCTCTTTTGATCCACCAGAGGATCTCACAGGCTGCTTCCTCAATAAAGGCTGAATACAAGTGCTGTGACAGTGTGAACTCCAAACAAAGCACTTGCAAAACACAGCAGACCCCTCTGGTTGGCAAAACAAGCCACAGAGAGCCCAAAGAAACTTGCTGCTCATGAGAGCCAAGGGCAGAAGATGCTGAGAGGTGACCAGGGTGATGAGCCCATCTGGCCCCTGCACTGAAGCATTAGGGCAGTCACAGGCAGGCCAGGTCCCTGGCCATGGCTGGCCAGGAGAGTTCTGCCTCTAAAGCTCCCAGCAGGGGCACCGAGAAGAAAAAGCTCAGAAACCTCCCCAGGTTCAGGGCCTTAAGCTAAGCTGTCTGAGACAACTCCTTCAAGGCCACAGGAAGCGTCTCCAGCACTGCTTACCTGTGTCCTGCAGGACAGATACATTGACCTGGAAGGACACATGGATCTGCCCAGGGTTGGTGATCTTCAGAGTGCGTGTCTCAGTGTAACCCTTAAGGACAGGGCCCATGTCCAGGACATACTGGGGCAGCTCAACTCTGCAAGGAGTAAGGACAGGCCTTAAAGCACAGTTCTTAAGCGTGGCTACATGTCCAAGTGAACAAAGCATACAAATACAGTGGCTATTTCTTCATTCACTGCTGTAAAAACTCAGCTCTAGCCCATGAAACCCATGGCCTGACCACCTGGCAATGACTTGGGAAGTCAGGAGGAGTGCAGGTCCTAGGTTTTATCAGCTACTAAAGGTACCTGAAAATAAAATTAGTTTAAAATGGACACTGGCCACAGCTCCTCTGCCAGGAAAAGCCAGTATAGGTGAGTCCACTGGGCCTCCACTGCTCTCAGTGGAACTGCCTAGCCTGGTGTACAGCCTGAGCCTGAAATTGCTTTGGGGTCTAGGAATAAGGTTTGCCTGCACAGGAAATCATTGCTCTGCAACCAGATCACATGAGCTGTTCTGCAGAGCATCTTCTTCCTGAACTGAAACCTCCCGTGCTGCATCATGATGGTGCAAAGGGACAGACCAAGTCACCTAGATAAGCCCTGCCACCCCACCAGGATTCAAGCCATCTGATTTTGGGTTTTAAAGGGTTTGCTGACATGTGCAGTTCCCTTCTCCTTTTGTTTAGTGTCACAGCTGCACAGTTGGAACCAAGACATCAGCTGGGAGTTGTCTCTTTCAGAGCTAGTCAGCAGGGACAGAATTTATGATGTCTGCAAGGGCTTGAAGGGGTGCACTGGGTCCCCCAGCTCTAGGGACAGAACCCCACACCTGTGGGGAGCTGAGCAGGCCAAAGCTCAGCGTGGAGCTGGGCAAGGGAGGACACTCTGCTGCTCACATGTAGCGTGCCACAGCCACCAGGACCTGACCCTTTCTGGAGTCCAGGCTATTCCCAGCTCTGCAGGAACAAGGAGCTCTCAGGAGAAGGGGACATGGCTGGGTGTTCCCCACGGGGCACCTGGAGATGGGGATGGGAGTCCCTACTCACTTGACAAGACTCTGGCACAGCTCCTTGTCAGGGAACCTGCTCTTCGGGGGATGGGATGTGAGCTTTTCCTCCAGCTCCAGAGCAGCTTTCTCTACCAACATCCTCATCATCTTTATCTGCAGCTGGGTGTTTGACTGAGGAAAGGGAAGACAGTGGCTGGTTAGCAAAGGTCCTTCCCAAGGCCCAACTTGCACCTGAGAAAGGATCCCCCCCCTGCTCTTGTTGGGAGGGGGTGTGGGGTCCTCCTGTCTGGCTGCTCAGTGTCTGTGACACCTCCTGCTCTCTTAGCCAGGACCTCATCTCCAGGGAAGTAACTCCAGCATCTTTGCCCGCCCAGACACTGTTCGCAAAGCTGCTCTGGCCAGGCAGACAGACAAGCCAGGAACCTTCCAGAGCTCCAGATACTTGCCTGCCCCCAGCCAGTACCAAGGCAGCTTGGACAAAAGCTGTCTTGAGAGGGAGCTGGGAGCAATCTGGTGCCTCTTGGAGATGAGCACCACCAGCACAGCCCCAGGGCACAGTCAGGCAGCTGCTGTTAAGGTCTGGAAATCTGGCAGGGACCAATTGGGTTGGGACCAGTGAACTCCCCAGCAATGGCCTGCATCTCCTTCAAACCATCAACTCCATCCCTGGAGCATGGCCTTCAGGATCTCTCCCTGGGGTAGCCAGGAAGCTGGTGCAGGCCCAGAAGAGACCATGACCACAGTGGCAGCCCTAGGGGCAATGCTGAGGTGACACAAGGTTGTAAGTGGGCAGGGAGGTCCCAGGTGCCATCAGGGCACCGGGGAGCTGCTGTGGGCTGCAAGGGGCTCAGGTGACATGGAGAGGGTGGCATGTGCCAAACGGGGCTGCAGCTGCTCTTACTACAATGCCAGAGTCAAGCACGCAGGGATCCAGGCTCTGAGTCTTCAGATTCTGAGTCTCCAAGGTCTGACTCTTAGTGGTCTGAGTTTTCCGGTTCTGAGACTTCAAGGTCTCAGTCTTCAGGCTCTGAGTCTTCTTAGAAACAACTGATTTATTGCTCTGACTGTATTGTTGCAGGGGTCTTACGAGCTGTTTCAGTGTCTTCTCATATTTTTCATTCCCTGAAGGAAGAAAACATCCACAAAGAGAAGTGTGAGCAAAGTGCCAGTCCCATTTAAGCTGGCAAGTCCCTGCCTACCAACACTGGTTTCTTCCAGAAAGAAATCCCTCAAGCCATCTATGGAAAGTGGATGCTGCTGTTCCTCTCTGAATCTCATCCCCTGCAGTGTCACACAAATCCAACCCTGCCAGAAGCCCTGCCAGCCTCTCTTACAGCTTTCCCAAGCCCTTCAGTCTAGCCATCATCCCTCAGGACCCTGCCAGATGTGCTGGCAGGCTCTGCAGCTTGGTTCCTGGGACAAAGTCCACATGGGACCCTCTGCTCAAGACTCATGAAGCATTCAGAGTGTTTGGCTTGGTCTGGGAGTCCTGCAACCCCCCAGGCTCGGTGGAGGTGGCCATGAGCTGCTCTATGGGCATATGGTAGGGAACAAAACCCGAGGGGCAGACAGACAGTGCCCACCTTTGATGTTCCAGGGCAGGTTGACACTGATCATGGGAAAGGAAGCTTCTCCTTTCAGGCAGATATTTTCCGGGTCCAGGTCATCCACTTTAAGCTGGTAAGTCCTGCTGAAGTCTCCTGGTAATCCCGGCATGTAAGAGAATTTCAGCACTTGCTTCTTGCCAGGTGCAATGGAGCCCTGCAGGGACGGGAGAAGAGGGAGGGAATGCATCAGAGTGTTTGATGGGGGATGGCTCAGGGGACAGACAGGCTGAGAACACAGGTTCTCATCTAGAAGAAACCATCAGACCACATCACCTTCATGATAAATATATTACAGTGTTGGCTTTCACAATTGTTAAAGTAAATACTATGTGTTCTATAATGTTGACTTTTGTAAAATAAGTTTTGCTAAAGTTTAGAGTTCTTTCAATGCAAATGTTGTGTTGTGATACCAATGTTGGTGAAGAGTTGTTTTAATATTAACATTTAACCAATGAAGAAATGGAAACCTGTTGAATGTGTTGAAAAGTCACAAATGACCAGGACTAGGTCACTGCACATGCTCCATCTGCCGAGCAGGATCTGACAGAGTGGCTGAGGGCTCCAGCGGGAACGCTCTGTCCCTGTCCTGGGTTACTCTCTCCGTTTCTCATTCTCTCTCTGCTCTCTTTACAGGTTCTCATCTAGAAGAAACCATCAGACCACATCACCTTCATGATAAATATATTACAGTGTTGGCTTTCACAATTGTTAAAGTAAATACTATGTGTTCTATAATGTTGACTTTTGTAAAAGAAGTTTTGCTAAGTTTAGAGTTCTTTTAATGCGAATAATGTGTTGTGATACCAATGTTGGTGAAGAGTTGTTTTAATATTAACATTTAACCAATGAAGAAATGGAAACCTGTTGAATGTGTTGAAAAGTCACAAATGACCAGGACTAGGTCACTGCACATGCTCCATCTGCCGAGCAGGATCTGACAGAGTGGCTGAGGGCTCCAGCGGGAACGCTCTGTCCCTGTCCTGGGTTACTCTCTCCGTTTCTCATTCTCTCTCTGCTCTCTTTTCTGTCCCACTCTGGTCAGGACCAATCTCTTTATCAATAAACAGTTTTCAGATATAAACTTCCTGCGTTTGTTTCCTTCCTGGATTAGGTAAAAAGACACCTCATAGCACCTGGGGAACTTCACCTCAAACTTAAGGACAGCCAATTGCACAGAAGCCAAAAAGTCCCACCTAAGAAATTTACTAGAAGAAGAAGAGAACAAAGAAAGGAATTGCTTTTGTGAGGTCTTTTACCAGCAGCAAGAATCTCTTGCACCTTGCTTGGTTTTTCTCTGTAAAGAGTTTTGTTATTTTGCCTTTTATTAAAATTTTTGCTTTCCAACACTATCACAGAAGCCATCCTGCTGATTTTATGCCTTCTAAGGTAGCTGAGCTGTCTTGGGTGTGACATAGATCTCCAAGAGCTTATGAGACCTGGCTTGAGGAAACCATATATCAGGCTGCCAGTGCAATACCAGCTCTCGGGTGAAAGCAGAAACCTGGAAACAGGTAGGCTGGCTGGCTTGGGAAGAGGGTACATGGAGGTCAGGACTCATCACAGCTTGCTCTGGGAAGGAAGCAGGAGCTCTTACCATGATGATGCAGATAAAAGCCACATCTTACATTGTGAAGGAAACAAGGCAAAAAATCCCACACTCTGCACAGTCCTGTAGGATCTGAGTGAGCTTCTCCAAGGAAAACTCTCCTATTGCTCCCTCCCACTCACCCCATGTCCAGCCACTGGTCCTGCTGCCCAGCCACTGTCAGGGCACAGGACAGCAGGGCAGCCAAAAGGGAGGTCAGCATGAGCATGACTTGCTGGTGGCAGGCTGGGGAGGCAACACAAGCAGTAGATGTACAAGAAAATCTACCTCAGCTCCTGAAGATTGGTTTAAATCCTGCACTTCATTCAGGGCTCTGGCTGCCTCCTCCTTTCTAATCCTGAAGTGTCTCCATTGAGATGCCTGGCGATCCAAACAGGTTATCTTCCCCTTTGGTGGCTGGGGTTTGAATTTAGGTGGGTGAAGCTCATCTCTGGAAAATAAGATAACTCTGAACAGGGACCTGCAGTGGGAGGAGTGCACGAGCAGCTCCTGCTCAGGATGCAGCCCCTGGGTGGGTGCTGGCACACTGAACTGAGAAATGGTTTGATCCAGCCCTTCCCAATCCAGGCTGGAGCAGCTCTGCTCTAAAGGCAGCCCAGGGATGACACTGAGGTGCTGCAGCAGCTGCAACTGCTTGCATTGAGGAACTACAGAGGGCAGGGATTAACATCTTGTGGGGATGCAAAAAGCAGTGGGAGAGGAAAAGACAGAGAAGGCAAGCAAAAAGGTGAGACTTGAGGCAACAAGGGACAGACCCAGCCAGTGACTGCCAGCACAGCCCCCCCAGTGCCCAACGCCAGAAACTCTGCAGCTCCACCAGGTATTTATCAGGAATGTTTCCCTGACAGTGCTGGGGGGTTGGTTGACATTTTCCAACCCTCCCAGGTGACTCAAATTCTCTCTGATGCACAACTTGCCTTTAAAAAGCATTTCTTACTGCTTTTAGAAAAGGAGGAGACTCAGAGTGAGAGATCTTGGAGCAGAGTGAAGGACTCCAGGTCAGCTCATCTGACTCCTGAGGCTCTTGCCCTCTGTCTCTGATTTAAAAGCTGCTTTCTCAAGGTCCTACAGCAAAAGCTCCTCCATAAATTTCCTATGGACCACCTGAGGAGTTCCAGGGGGAGCAGTGCCCTCCATAGGTGCTGCACAGCATCCTTGGGCAGCCCTGCAGCATGTCCTGCACGGCCTCTCCAACAACCAGCTGTTTGAGCAGCACTTTGTGATGGGCCTGCAGGGATGGGAGGCCCCTGTGTGGCCAATGCTGAGGGCCACCAGTGGGACTGGGAGCTCCAGCCCTGCTTGCCACACTGACAATGTGCAAGTGAGACACATTCCCTCTCACCTTCTCCACTTCGAGGGGAGTGTGTGGGAAGTCCATGGAGCACCTCAATTCCTTCAAGCCTAGTGGGGGGTGAGGGTTTTCAGGAGTTTGTGGTGGCACCTGAAAAACAAGCCATTTTCTATGCTAGGAGGAAGAGACAGCCACTTTGCAAAGTCTGAGTTTATAAGACAGCTTCAGGGCCACCAGTGCAATGCCAGCTCCCGGGTGAAAGCAGAAACCTGGAAACAGGTAGGCTGGCTGGCTTGGGAAGAGGGTACATGGAGGTCAGGACTCATCACAGCTTGCTCTGGGAAGGAAGCAGGAGCTCTTACCATGATGATGCAATAAAAGCCACATCTTACATTGTGAAGGAAACAAGGCAAAAAATCCCACACTCTGCACAGTCCTGTAGGATCTGAGTGAGCTTCTCCAAGGAAAACTCTCCTATTGCTCCCTCCCACTCACCCCATGTCCAGCCACTGGTCCTGCTGCCCAGCCACTGTCAGGGCACAGGACAGCAGGGCAGCCAAAAGGGAGGTCAGCATGAGCATGACTTGCTGGTGGCAGGCTGGGGAGGCAACACAAGCAGTAGATGTACAAGAAAATCTACCTCAGCTCCTGAAGATTGGTTTAAATCCTGCACTTCATTCAGGGCTCTGGCTGCCTCCTCCTTTCTAATCCTGAAGTGTCTCCATTGAGATGCCTGGCGATCCAAACAGGTTATCTTCCCCTTTGGTGGCTGGGGTTTGAATTTAGGTGGGTGAAGCTCATCTCTGGAAAATAAGATAACTGAGAACAGGGACCTGCAGTGGGAGGAGTGCACGAGCAGCTCCTGCTCAGGATGCAGCCCCTGGGTGGGTGCTGGCACACTGAACTGAGAAATGGTTTGATCCAGCCCTTCCCAATCCAGGCTGGAGCAGCTTGAAGCTCATCTCTGGAAAATAAGATAACTGAGAACAGGGACCTGCAGTGGGAGGAATGAAGGAGCAGCTCCTGCTCAGGATGCAGCCCCTGGGTGGGTGCTGGCACACTGAACTGAGAAATGGTTTGATCCAGCCCTTCCCAATCCAGGCTGGAGCAGCTCTGCTCTAAAGGCAGCCCAGGGATGACACTGAGGTGCTGCAGCAGCTGCAACTGCTTGCATTGAGGAACTACAGAGGGCAGGGATTAACATCTTGTGGGGATGCAAAAAGCAGTGGGAGAGGAAAAGACAGAGAAGGCAAGCAAAAAGGTGAGACTTGAGGCAACAAGGGACAGACCCAGCCATCTGCACTGTCTTTAGCTGAATGAATGGCTTGAGGCAACTTCCCAGGACCACGGTGCCTGGACAATGACATTTTTCACTCTGAAGTAGAAACTCTGGGAGGCAGGGAGAGGAGATGATGTGATGAACAAGTCCTATTGTCAAACAATTCCGAACCCATAAGGTTCTAACACCCACATGTTGCAGGGTGTAAAAGTCAAAATGAGTAACAAGTATCACAAAAAAAGGGAGTGAAGATCCAAGGTGTCCACTGAAAGCCAACCCCTGGGAAAGAAATCATCCTGGCACTAAAGGAGTTGTCTCAGCAAAGAAGGAAAGGAAAGGTAACAAGATCTTCAGCATCAGCCCTAAGTGGCTCTTTCTCTGGCCTTGGGACTTGCTGGGCATCCTCCAGCACAATGCAAGGGAGGAAGGCAAGGAGCAGAGAGCAGCTCCTGCAGAGAGGACCCATCCCAAAGCAGAGGGGCCAGAAGGGCCTCCAGCAGCACTGTGGGAGCTGGGACTAGGAGCCCTTCATCAAGGTGGACATTGCCTCAGGCCACAGAAGACTGAGAAAGCAGCTTTCACCCCAGCTTTCCTTCCCAGGGGAAACCACTATGGGGGCTATGCAGCACCAAACTGGTGGAAAACCTATTCCCTGCATCCAGCCTGAGCACAGCTGGTCAGTGTTATTTGTCAGATCCTAGGCAAACAGCTTTGTTCTTTGCCAAGTGCAAACAGGCCACCAGCAAGAAGAGCTTCAAGGAGAGGGCAAAGGTGCACACACCTCAACGTGTTCACCTGGCTGTCTGAATGGAATGACCAGTGGTACTGGACGGGAAGTGGGCTGCAGTTGGTCATCTTCAGAGAGCGCACTTTTTCAGTGCCAGGCACGATGCAGCCAAACTCCAGGGTGCTGGGCTGGATTTGGAGATTTGGGAAGTGCACTTCTCCCTGAAGGGTGATACGCTCCACAAAAGGATGGCCCCTGACCATGTCTATCTTCAGAACCTTCTCTTTTTTCCAGCTCTTCAAATCCAGTCCAAAAGATGGGTCAAATGAGATGTAGAGATGACAGGTCTCCCCTACATCCAATCTCACAGGCTGCAAGGAGATGAGCAGTAATTAATACTTAATCACCTCTGGGATAATGTCCCACGGTCTGACAGCAGGAAACAGTAAATGCTCAAAGTGACTCCAGCACGGGCTTCTCAGTTCATGGTTCATTGCTCTACAGCAGGGATCTGACTGCAGGCACCACAGTCCAGCCCAGCATTCCCGCAGGCTCCCGTTCCTGTGCTCAGCAGCAATACAAGGGGGTGGCTGCTGGAGAGCTGGCATGCTTCCCAGGAGACACCTTTACTGCATGGCTTGCCCAGACCCAGTTGCCTGCTCCCTTCTCCCTGTGCCTTACAGCCAGGACAGGTCTTCTCAATTCAGGTAAGATTTTGATTCCCTCAGCAGCTCTGCTGATGCAGCTCAGGCCAGCCCACTGCTGAGGCTACAGAATAAACTTCTTGACTCAAGGAGCTCCCAACAGAAAGGCACCACCACATCCCTCCTCTTCAGACCCCACTGGAGGAGTCCAGGGCTGCTCACCTGGCCATTTGGGAGGGGCTGCTGGTCCTCATCACAGACCAGGAACGGCTGCTCCAAGTCCAGCATAAGGTCCAGTGGCAGCAGGCAGGTGTTTTTTAAAGACAAAGGCTGGTACTGCAGCCTCAGGACATCACTGGGTTTCTATGGAAACAGGAGACACGGAAAAACAGCCTCAACCAACCACAGACCTCCTTCTGCTGCATCTCAGATTTTTCAGCCCCAGAAGTGCATACATTTCTATTTACCCTTTCTATATGTTTCTACCCTTCCAGGAGCTTTTTCTTTATAGCAGATGCTTTTCATGTTTAGAAACCACAGCGTCCTCTGGAGGACAGGGAAACACTCCCACATACAGATGAGGGAATAAGCTCATCAGAGGAGGTGGTGCTGAATAAGATCTTAAGCTGAAAGTGAATCCAGACCATTTGTCTCCAGTTTTGTCTCTCTCTTGGGCAGAACAGCACTGGAGGATCTTCACTCACATACAGTCATTTCTCACAGCCTTACTGGCTCTAGCAGCCTCAAAAAGCAGTTCATCTGCAACACGTGTCCTGCAGCCCCTGCTACAGGGACAAGGTGTCTGTGGTCTCAAAGCTATGATCAGCCTGGGCTCTTCCTTCCTGTCTATGCATTGTGCTGGGCTTCCTGCATGCCTTAGAGAAACCAGAGACTTTGGGAAACTACTTCTGCATGTACTGATACCAAGCAGGTGCTGTGCCATAGTATGCAATAAATCAGTTTGTGGGTGTGGCATCGAGCAGAACCCAGGCAGAATCAGGGAGGGCTGAAAAGCTTCTAAATTACATCTGAACTGCCTGTTCCAGGGATTCTGTACTTCAGCGGGAGCCTGGGAACCAGAGGAGAGGCCTGAAACTACAGAAACCAAATGATGAACCATCTTCTCTTTTTCAGACAACGTGCAGGAGGCAGAAAGATGGTGCTGGAGTTGGGATCCAGAGACTAAAGGGCACCTGCTCTGCCTCAGTGTTATCATCACTGCAGCTGCAGGATGTCTGGGGGTCCTTTCAAGCAGAGGAGGCTTAGGGAAATGCACAGAGCTGTACCATATAGCTATACCATAAAGCATCCATTCCAACAGCAGAGAAGGCAAAGACACACAGGAGATGTTGGGTTTTTCCTTGTCAGCCTGAGGAACTCACAGGAATCTCCATTTTTCCCAGCTTCCCTACAGCATCAGTGTAAAGACATCACCGTGCCTTGGAGGACCCTCAAAAGCCTCCCTCTACAGTGAGCAGAGAAACTGGCATTTCTCTGGAAGTGGCCACCATCTCCTTGGCAGTGCAGCTGTAACTGCAGCTTTACTTTGGGGAAGTCAAATACCAGTCTCATCTCTGAAAGCATCTTCACTCATTTGACAAAGTGCCTCAGGAAGGGCAAAGAGGGGCTTTAACACAAGCACACACCCCCCTCAGCCATGCTGTTAAATGCCAGGATGCAATCCAGACTTACCTTCTCCACCCGGAAAGAGAGTTGTCTGGCTGACACTTCTATAGAGGGGTGAATAAACTTGCAGGTAACGATTGTTTCTATTATCTTCTTAGGTTTGGCATCTAACCCAATCATAGCTTCACAGAACACATAATCCTGCACCTCCTGCAAGCAAGAGTCACTTGTCACCAGTGGGTGGTGGCAGGGCACCCTGCAAATGCCCTGCACTGGCTCAGCACCCACCACGGGCCCTATTCCTGCCACAGTTACAGTCACTGCCCCCTTTCCTTCCTGTGATGCAGCTTATTTATTCTGTGCTCAATTGTCTGTAACACTGCACCCCAATAACCTACAAAAGGCGCAGAAACCCCCTCCCTTGACATGGCCTTTGTTTTACTCCATGCTTACCCCAGATAAACCATTAGCACTTGTTTAATTCACTTTCTTTTTGGGCTCCTACTCTAAGTGTAACTTATTTCTCTGCCCTTCTTTGCTGACTCAGCATGCAACACTGCTTGCCCCAGAAGAGCAATATTTCCTTCCACCCCTACTTTGGGATCAGCACTGGGTTTTGGTAGCTGTGGAATCACAATAAAGCCTTAGCTGGTCTGATGGTGGCCAGCAAGGAAAGCCACTGGTGTTGCCACAGAAACGTGTAGTCTTAAATCAGTTTTGTGAAGGCCCCTGCTCATTTCCCCAGGCAAATGTCAAGGGACTGTGGAACAAGCCCAGGGGAGGGGATCTGATGGTTCCCCAGGCTCAGCCCGTGGTGGGGACCTCACCTGTGCGATGTGGGAGAAGCCTCGCAGCACCATGTCTGCAGACTGGCCTGGCTTCAGCTCCATTGACCATGGCTCCACCCCAAACGTGGGGTTGGCACGTTTGGGGCTCTGGGAATCATCCTTGGGGCTACTGAGGGCTGAGACACTCTGGCCCTTCTCCTCCTCAGGTGGGCTGTAGCATTCCGCTCTCCAGGAGAGCCGATGGAAACGGCAGCCCCGGTTTGTTACTCTGAACCGACGAATACAGGGAAGGAGGCTAGAATAGAAGGCAGGATGCAAAATAGTATGGGAGTAGCTATTTCCCTGGTCATCAGATTGCTCCCAGTGAGCAACCTGAGGTGTTAATAGCTTGGAAACTGTCTTCCTTTCCAGCTCTTAATGTGGACCAGAAATCGTGTCTGATAAGCTGCCCTTCTGATGTCGTTATGGCAAAGGGAAATATATTCATAATGGTAATGTAACATTTTCCAGGTGAGGCTAACAGGACGTGGTGTTTTCCCCCAAAATGTTTGTTCTGGGGTGATCCATACTGTTGCTGTATTTTGTATTATTCTGTGCCCAAAACTGTAACTACAGCAAAACTGCTCCTTGTTGAGACAGGAGGAGAGGTGGGAGTGGAGAGATCTCCTACCTGAATTGGTATCCCAAGTTGATCTCTGGGGTCAATGGTTTGTCTATGACAATTGTGGTGCCAATGCTCAAGGCCTTGAGAAAGAAGGTGGTCCAAAGGCTGCTCCCAATGAACAGCTGGACAGAGTCATCAAAAAGACCAGTGTCATCCAGGGTTGCTGTGATAGTCACAGGAAGCTCACTCCTAGCAGGGATCACTCCTTCTCTGGGTTCAATAACAAAGCAGTGGGGTTTTTCAGTCTGTAAAACAAACATAATATGCATTAGGATGGAAACCATACACCCTGGTGTCTTGTGGGATATAAGACAAGGAAAGACTAAAGACGGGAGGATAGAAATCCTAAAGGCTTAATTTCCCTAAAGTTAAGCTACAGTACTGGGCAACAGCAGAGCTCATACAACCTGTATTTTCCCTCTCCAAAGCCTGTTCCCTATGAACAGCTGGACAGTGTTATCAAAATGCCCAGTGTCATCCAGGGTTGCTGTGATAGTCACAGGAAGCTCACCCCTAGCGGGTATCTCTCCTTCTCTGGGTTCAATAACAAAGCAGTTGGGTTTGTCAGCCTGTGAGACAAACATAATATGCATTTAGGATGGAAACCATACACCCTGGTGTCTTGTGGGATATAAGACAAGGAAAGACTAAAGACGGGAGGATAGAAATCCTAAAGGCTTAATTTCCCTAAAGTTAAGCTACAGTACTGGGCAACAGCAGAGCTCATACAACCTGTATTTTCCCCTCCTTTAAGGGACTTACCCAACTAACTCAGTTTTTCCCAACCCAAGGGATGCTTATCCTCAGGAGAGTGTTCCTTTCCTATTCTCTGGAGTGTGAGCCAAGGAAAGCTGCTTTCTCTCTCCTGGCTTCTCACAAAGGCTCAAGGCCAGAGGAAGTCATGACTACTCAAATCCCACTGCAGAAACCACATGGCTGGAGGACACTGCTGAGAGCCTAAAGACAAAAGATTAAATTAAGGGAGAACTTGTCAACACAATCCAGGTTAATTTCTGCTCCAACATCTCTGCACCTGACTTCACTGAGGGGTGCCCCAGCTAAAACCACTCCAGAGCCAGGTTCCTCTGCCTTGCTCAGATGGAATATTGGAGTATCTTGCCTCCTCTCACACAGGGCAATATGGAAATCTTGCATATAAAAACCAAGTCATGGCTGCTACTGACCATTCCATTTTCCTGGAAAACAGTCCCACAGATACTCACAATCTCTATCCTGAAGTCTGTAGGGACGAGACCTTTGTTGAAGAGGGTAAAGCTTTGTGAAGTAGGTTGTAAAGCTTGGATCGTGCCAAACTTTATGATACATGGATGTGGGTAGATTTCTGCCAGCCGTCCAAAGCTCTGTAATTCTGCTCTCTGTTTCAGGAAGCAGGCAAGAAACATTTTAAAAAAAAACCAAAACAAACTGCAACAGGGAAACCTAAAAAAGCTTAAACAGCTCAACCCTGCTCAAGTTATTTCTTTAGGGACAGCCACCACTCTCCAGCTGAAATGCTGGGCTTTTGGGGAAAAAGAAAATTACATGTCATCTCCAAATTTAAAAAGGATTAATGTAAGAGAACCTTTGAAATTACAAATTATTGGCCCAAAGGTAAAAGCTTTGCAAGAAATCTCTAGTTAAGACCAGGCTGACAGTTAAACAACTGGTTATTCGGGTGGGGAGAAACCCTCCTCTTTCAGGTAAGCAGCCTGATAGCTGAAAGCAATTGTTTTGTCAAACTTCAGGCTCCCTGGCACAGCCTGCATTGCCTGTCCTTCCTGTTCACTGATTTACATGCAGTGCCACAATGGCTCAGGTTCAGACGTTTGGTGCCATCCAGGGAATTTGGCATCATCATGTCCATATGTTTTAATATAAGTTTAAATCCTTGCAACCACTCTTCAAATGGCAGCTTTCCTTTCTTTTACAGAAAGCTCAATGTTCCCAGAAGTCTTCTGACATCTTCTTTTGTGCTCAGAGAGATGACATTTTAAAATAGATGTTTCCACTGTAGAGATGAGACTCTCATTGAAGAGGGTAAAGCTTTGTGAAGTAGGCTGTAGTGGTGGGATCCTGCCAAAATCTATCAGCCTTGGACGTGGGTAGATTTCTGCCAGCTGTCTAGAGGTCTGTAATTCTGCTCTCTGTTTCAGGAAGCAGGCAAGAAAGATTTAAAAAAAACCCCAAAACAAACCGCAACAGGGAAACCTAAAAAAGCTTAAACAGCTCAACCCTGCTCAAGTTATTTCTTTAGGGACAGCCACCACTCTCCAGCTGAAATGCTGGGCTTTTGGGGAAAAAGAAAATTACATGTTCATCTCCAAATTTAAAAGGGTTAAGGTAAGAGAACCTTTCAAACTACAAATTATTGGCCCAAAGGTAAAAGCTTTGCAAGAAATCTCTAGTTAAGACCAGGCTGACAGTTAAACAACTGAGCAACACCCTCCAGGTCCACCAGCATTTTCCGGTAGAAAGTCGTCATGGTGTTGGAACACAGGGTCACCTGGTGGAAGAGAAGAACAGGAAATTCTTCCTTACAAAAGCTCATTTCCCATGTGTGATATCCTCCAGTTCTTGAGGGAGGATTTTGCCTTAATTCTTCTGCTGGTCCATGTGTAGAGCACAGTCTCAGAGTAACAAAAACCTTCTGGCAATACCAGATTCGTTAAACACACCTTGCTATCAGGGCATAGGTCAGCTACATTAAACCACTAGACTAAAGCTCTACACACCACTGTATTCAAATTAAGGGCCCAATTTTTCATCTGACTACAATGACATAAATGCAGAGGAAATCTGACTTGAACAGAATGAGTTCAGCTTTACAGCAGGAAGCTGAGGGCAAAGTGTGGCCCAGTACATGCTGGGCAGTTCATGGCTGCAGAGTTTTTTGTCTCCACTGGAGATCCCTGCAGTGAACACAAATTGTTCTGCTCCCCAGCAGAGGAGACATGAGACCAAGAAGAAAAGCTAACTGCTTTATACAATGACATCTAACAGCCACCTTCTGTCCTCATCCTTGCCCTGTCCACTTGCAATCAAATAAATCACCCTCAAAAACACAAGAATGGCTTCAGGACTTAACCTATGGTATGTGATCTCAGCTTGTGATTTTGGAAACAAAACAGTGCTCCTTGAGGAACATCTCGGGTAACCCAGCTAGCAGAGGCCTCACAGCAGTGCAGACCTCTCACTCCCACGATGCTCAAAGCTGGCACCAGAGCTAAAGCCCTCCCACACTCAGTGAAGCTTCAGCCCTGGTGCTGAAGCGTCTATGGCTGGACTCTTCCCGTACCTCGATATCCTGGTGTCCCTGGGGGAGGATGGTCCCTTGGCTGGGATTCATTGTAAACTCCCTTGGCTCCATATAAAAATGAATTCCATTCCTCCAGGATGGGTCACTGTCGCTGCGTATCTGATCAAAGCTGCTAACAGCCGGCTGCGTGCCATCGTCCGACATGCGGAGCTTGAATGTCACGGGCGCCACGGATTTGTTAATGAGGCGACAGCTCTGGGTGAAGGGAAAGCCTAGGAAAAGACAAAAATATCCACTGAGGCACCCATTATGGCATGATCCTGGTGTGAATATCCTGGCAGGATGAAAGTGGGATTGGAGTTCAGCTCTTTATTATCTGAACTACAGCTGACCGAGAAGCTGCATGAGGAATTAATTGTCACTTAGTTCCCTTTGACACTGATTCCAGACTGCAGCCTTGAAAATGCCCACTCCTAGCCCTGGTGAACACTGCAAGCTTCTCTCTTGGTGATGGGGAGGAGCTCCCTCACCTGCGCCAAGCCAGCACCAGTTATCTCTCAGTGATGAGTGTGCACTCAGACCGAGCATTTACTCTGAAAATTCAAGCTGTAAAATTCCCTGTTAAGCGTGCCAACACTGCCACCATTTTCAAGATATATAAACAGTGAGCTGCCATTGAGAAGAAGCTACAGCAAAAGAAAGTGAGGATGGAATCAGGAACTAGAACGTGGTGCAAAGCACCGTAACGTAGTTGCACTCTGCAGGATCCTAAGGCATCTCTTGGTTTGGGCCAAACAGACTGAGCACATGACAGCTCAGAGCCCACTCAACTGGGGACAAACTGAGCCTTGCTTTGAGATTAGCAATTAGGAACCAGGTCCCACCTCACCCAACAAACGGGGACATCACACCCATGCTGTTCACTGTGATTGCTGCCTGCGAGGGTTTACCCCACTTGAGCTCTGAGATTTGCTTTCCATCCTGGAAAGCCAGAGATACAGCCACACATGCTGGGGATGTCCTGCAGAGCCCGGAGAGCAGCCACAACCTGCTCTGCAGTGGACATCTGGCTGGGCTGGCCAGCTCTGTGGGGAGGAGTCTTCTCCCCGGGCCTGCTCACCAAGAGTCACTGGAACACAGATGGGGAGACAAAACAACTGCAGGTTCAGCCCAGAGCATCTCTGTGCCCATCAAAGTGATCACTGCCAGCTCCAGCAGTGACTCCAGCAGGGAGGCAAGAGAGGCACAAAAAGGACAAACACAGATGTCAGAACCTCAGATGAGACTGAGGTCACCACAGGCAGACAACAGTCAACAGTTACAAAGAAGCAAAGGTACAACAGCTGCCTTCAGCTGAAGAGACCTTAGGACTGAAATTGGATTAAGCAGGATGAATCTCCTGTTTCAGAACCATATTTCTACCTGTTGCCTTTCTTGTTTCATTTATTCAAAAGGCAACTTGACAAGTGCCTCCGTGGTGATGCAGGGTGGGGAAGAAGCAGCTCAGGAAAGGCAATTAGTTTCCTTAAAAAGTTCATGAATTTCATTGTTACGGGTTTAGGCTTTGTAGTGAGTGTTCCCCTTGGTCTGGGGAGGGGAATAGGGGTTTTTGGGGATTTTGGCCCTGGGGCTGGGCTTTTCCCTTCGGGGTTTTCTGGGAGTTGTGGCGTCTCGATATCCTGGTGTCCCTGGGGGAGGATGGTCCCTTGGCTGGGATTCATTGTAAACTCCCTTGGCTCCATATAAAAATGAATTCCATTCCTCCAGGATGGGTCACTGTCGCTGCGTATCTGATCAAAGCTGCTAACAGCCGGCTGCGTGCCATCGTCCGACATGCGGAGATTGAACGTCACGGGTGCCATGGAGTTGTTAATGAGGCGACAGCTCTTGGTGTAGGAAAAGCCTAGGAAAAGACAAAAATATCCACTGAGGCACCTATTATGGCATGATCCTGGTGTGAATATCCTGGCAGGATGAAAGTGGGATTGGAGTTCAGCTCTTTATTATCTGAACTACAGCTGACCGAGAAGCTGCATGAGGAATTAATTGTCACTTAGTTCCCTTTGACACTGATTCCAGACTGCAGCCTTGAAAATGCCCACTCCTAGCCCTGGTGAACACTGCAAGCTTCTCTCTTGGTGATGGGGAGGAGCTCCCTCACCTGCCCCAAACCAGCACCAGTTATCTCTCAGTGATGAGTGTGCACTCAGACCGAGCATTTACTCTGAAAATTCAAGCTGTAAAATTCCCTGTTAAGCCTGCCAACACTGCCACCATTTTCAAGATATATAAACAGTGAGCTGCCATTGAGAAGAAGCTACAGCAAAAGAAAGTGAGGATGGAATCAGGAACTAGAACGTGATGCAAAGCACCCTAATGCAGTTTCTCTCTGCAGGATCCTTAAGGCATCTCTTGGTTTGGGCCAAACAGACTGAGCACATGACAGCTCAGAGCCCACTCAACTGGGGACAAACTGAGCCTTGCTTTGAGATTAGCAATTAGGAACCAGGTCCCACCTCACCCAACAAACGGGGACATCACACCCATGCTGTTCACTGTGATTGCTGCCTGCGAGGGTTTACCCCACTTGAGCTCTGAGATTTGCTTTCCATCCTGGAAAGCCAGAGATACAGCCACACATGCTGGGGATGTCCTGCAGAGCCCGGAGAGCAGCCACAACCTGCTCTGCAGTGGACATCTGGCTGGGCTGGCCAGCTCTGTGGGGAGGAGTCTTCTCCCCGGGCCTGCTCACCAAGAGTCACTGGAACACAGATGGGGAGACAAAACAACTGCAGGTTCAGCCCAGAGCATCTCTGTGCCCATCAAAGTGATCACTGCCAGCTCCAGCAGTGACTCCAGCAGGGAGGCAAGAGAGGCACAAAAAGGACAAACACAGATGTCAGAACCTCAGATGAGACTGAGGTCACCACAGGCAGACAACAGTCAACAGTTACAAAGAAGCAAAGGTACAACAGCTGCCTTCAGCTGAAGAGACCTTAGGACTGAAATTGGATTAAGCAGGATGAATCTCCTGTTTCAGAACCATATTTCTACCTGTTGCCTTTCTTGTTTCATTTATTCAAAAGGCAACTTGACAAGTGCCTCCGTGGTGATGCAGGGTGGGGAAGAAGCAGCTCAGGAAAGGCAATTAGTTTCCTTAAAAAGTTCATGAATTTCATTGTTACGGGTTTAGGCTTTGTAGTGAGTGTTCCCCTTGGTCTGGGGAGGGGAATAGGGGTTTTTGGGGATTTTGGCCCTGGGGCTGGGCTTTTCCCTTCGGGGTTTTCTGGGAGTTGTGGCGTGATGCCGTGGGTGGCTGTGAAGTCAGAGCTGAGGTTGGGCAGGGAGCGGAGCTTCCCTTCCTCCCGCTCGGGGATGGAAGCTCGGCCGCGTGCTGCTGCGGGAGGTTGTGTGCTTGGCCCCGGGACTGCCCTGGCTGCAGCTCAGCGCTGGCACCGACCTGCCTGCCTTCCCCACTGCTGCCTGTGCTGCTGGCACTGCTCACATCCCCCTGCCCTTTGGGAGTTTGCCAAAGGAGCATTTCCTTCCTTCCTCCCTCCCTCCCTCCCTTCATCCCCTGCCAGTGCCAGCTGGGAGGCGATCACTGCCCTGCCAGAGCCCACAGCTCCTCCTGCTCTGATCAGAACTACACCAAAGGGGAAAAACGGTACTTGGCAGGTGGGAAATGTCTGTTCTTGCATTGTTGTCTGTGCTCTCCTGATATAGTCTAGGAAAGAACTGTTATTCCTTTTCCCATAGTTTTTCCTGTGATCCCTGTAATTAAGCTTGCACTAGAGTTTAACCTGGGTGAGTAATAATCCTGATATTAACTCTGGAGGCTAAATTTTTTTTTTTTTTTCTTCTGAGGGGAAAAAAAAAAATCTGCTCGCTAATTTGTGCAATACGTTATCTCAGATCACTAACTTTGAGGCTGCACCGGCAACCCAGTGTGCTGGAGCCCTCGAAGTTTGGGGATTAAATTTAAAAATACATATATTTCGCCTGTAACTCATTCGGACGCTTGGGAAAGTGGCCACGCGATAAACATATGAATGGAAGCAGGACCTGCAAAATAATTACTCATCAGAGTTTTTTAAAGCCTGATATCAGGAAACAGGAAAAAAATGTAGTTTATGTGGGAAAAGAAGGGCTCACAATCCGTTCCTTGTTGTGTTAAAGGGGGTCTGGGGAACGAAGTCATTTTCTGGACTTTGTCCAGGTTCTGGGTCGTGACCTAAACTTCCTTTTATATATTATTGCTTTACACATAAAAAACTTCTCCTTTTTTTTTTCCTCCCCCCCCAATTACTGGTGCTAAATCCTGAGGTGATCAATGAGCAGGGCGCATCTATCCACAGGGAGACAGGGATCCCGAGTGGGAAGGGGTGTCCGTGGGGTGCTTATTTTATTTTTCTATCATTTTTCTAGGATGCATTTTCCTCTCCCTCGCTCAGCCGCTCAGCGAGGATCCCACACACGCTCACATCCCTCCCCAGCCCCTGCCCAGCTCACACCCACACCAAGAGTTTATTTCCAATCCTGCCTTTTCTCCCAAATCACTTTTTTTTTTTTACTTTTTTTTTTTTTTTTTTTTTTTTTTTTTAACTGCTCACCAAGAGTCACTGGAACACAGATGGGGAGACAAAACAACTGCAGGTTCAGCCCAGAGCATCTCTGTGCCCATCAAAGTGATCACTGCCAGCTCCAGCAGTGACTCCAGCAGGGAGGCAAGAGAGGCACAAAAAGGACAAACACAGATGTCAGAACCTCAGATGAGACTGAGGTCACCACAGGCAGACAACAGTCAACAGTTACAAAGAAGCAAAGGTACAACAGCTGCCTTCAGCTGAAGAGACCTTAGGACTGAAATTGGATTAAGCAGGATGAATCTCCTGTTTCAGAACCATATTTCTACCTGTTGCCTTTCTTGTTTCATTTATTCAAAAGGCAACTTGACAAGTGCCTCCGTGGTGATGCAGGGTGGGGAAGAAGCAGCTCAGGAAAGGCAATTAGTTTCCTTAAAAAGTTCATGAATTTCATTGTTACGGGTTTAGGCTTTGTAGTGAGTGTTCCCCTTGGTCTGGGGAGGGGAATAGGGGTTTTTGGGGATTTTGGCCCTGGGGCTGGGCTTTTCCCTTCGGGGTTTTCTGGGAGTTGTGGCGTGATGCCGTGGGTGGCTGTGAAGTCAGAGCTGAGGTTGGGCAGGGAGCGGAGCTTCCCTTCCTCCCGCTCGGGGATGGAAGCTCGGCCGCGTGCTGCTGCGGGAGGTTGTGTGCTTGGCCCCGGGACTGCCCTGGCTGCAGCTCAGCGCTGGCACCGACCTGCCTGCCTTCCCCACTGCTGCCTGTGCTGCTGGCACTGCTCACATCCCCCTGCCCTTTGGGAGTTTGCCAAAGGAGCTTTTCCTTCCTTCCTCCCTCCCTCCCTTCATCCCCTGCCAGTGCCAGCTGGGAGGCGATCACTGCCCTGCCAGAGCCCACAGCTCCTCCTGCTCTGATCAGAACTACACCAAAGGGGAAAAACGGTACTTGGCAGGTGGGAAATGTCTGTTCTTGCATTGTTGTCTGTGCTCTCCTGATATAGTCTAGGAAAGAACTGTTATTCCTTTTCCCATAGTTTTTCCTGTGATCCCTGTAATTTCAGAGGTATAATCATTTGGAGGGAGGGGCTCATCTTTCCATTCCAGGAAGATTCCCACCTTCCTTGGCAGACATCTGTCGTTTAAAGCAGGACAGAGACATCAGAAAATACTGACTTTCTATTCCTTGGTTCCATTTGATCTCACAATGGCAGAATGCTGCCCGAGGCACCAGCAGCCCTGCAGTTCACACCCTGAGGAGGCTGCTGTGGCAGACCATGAGTGAGGGATGCTTTTCTGCTGGAACGCACAGATCCCTCACGCTGTGTCCCAGCCCAGGGAATACTCACCAAAGGAGACGTCCCCGAAGTCGAGCTCAGGGAGGTCGAAGTGTAATTTCGGTTGAGTGACACAGCCCCTGGATGGCAAGGACAGAGGAGGAAATGCCTTGGTTAAAGGAATTGCAAAGGTCTGGCTGCCGTGGCTTGAGGGCAGAAAACCTGGTGTCAGGGCACCGTGGGTTTCAAACCAACACACCATCAAGTGCTCAGCACAGTGCCCCTGTGGACAGGAGGCAGCCAAAGCCAAGTGGCCAGCAGCCAACAGCCACTGATGGGCTTTGGGCACAGGGCAGGCAGGAAAAGCCCCCGGGATGCTGGTGTTCCCATGAAGGACCCTGAACACACACCCCGACATGGCTCTGTGCCTCAGTTTCCCTATCTGTAATGTGATGGACATAAAGGTGTCCCCACAAACTTCTGGTTAATCAGTTCCACCTGCAGCAGCAAGAAAGCAAAATGGAAATACATGTACAATCTTCCCTTCTTGTCAGTTATTTTCTAATGATGCAATTAACACCCAGAAAAGGCAGAAGATGCTTTGTGCTGCTGAATGGCTGAACTCAAAAGATACAACAGGACAAGTTCTGCCTTTGGGTCTTCATGCAAAGCAATGGTAACTCCACATAACTGCAGTCATCCTGGGGTTATCCAATAGACACAGAGCAGTGCACCTCTGGGCAGCATCACCAAGCTCATTGAAACCTGGCCCTAAGAGCCCTGAGTGTGGTGATTGCAGCTGCCTAGTGAATCAGCACAGAGCTGCTGCTGCCCCAGCTAGCACAGCTCCAACAGCACCATCTACTCACTCACCTTTTCCCATACCATGAAAACAATGCATTGATAATGAGGGATCAGCATCAAAATGTACAGACACCATCATCCTTTGGTAAGGAAACTCAGCGTGTCTTTCCCTTCCCCAGCCAAGCTTCTGAAAGTGTCTGCCATGATGTAGTGCCTCATTTTCTACCTCTTTCAGTTGCTCTCTCCTGATTTTTTTGCAAACTAGACACTATTGGGGGGGAGGCAAATAGGTAGAAAAATCCTTTGCTTTATTCCCAGGAACACTTTTGTCTTTCTAGAGCCAGAGATGCACCAAGGCTGAAGTGTGGTGAGGGACTGGTCAGCAAGGGAAAGAACTCCCAAGCCCTTTGCAAGGGCCAGCACTGAGCCCAGAGGCTGGATGGCTTTTCTGTGACTTCCAGGAGTAAGCAGGAGACACTTGACTGGAAGCTGTTTGCAGTGGACTGAAGCTCAAACACAGCCAGTTTGTTCCAGCTGCCTCTGAACAGCCCAGTCCCAAGGTGCCTTGTGTCTGGCACTGCCACAAAAGCCTCTGAACATGCAGCTTTTGGACCCAGTGCTGGTTTCACATGCCAAGGGGCTGTTTTGCAGGAAGCCTCCCAGCTGATCCCTAAGGAAGGCTGCCCAAAAGCAGGGACTGGGGCTTCATGAACAACAGACACACCTTTCTGACTCCCCCAGATTTGACCAGTACATCAAATATTCCCTGCTCACAACTGCCCAGGTTGGCAGGAATTCCACAGCTCCACCAAGCTCGCTGTTGCCTCAGGAGCCATCAGGATCCATCCCAAGCCCTGCTGCTCACCTCATGGACATAGTAGATGTCGACAAAGATGTTCTGAAGGTTCAGCATATCAGAGCTGAGTTCAACCAAGGGTCCTTGGCCTTCCCCTCTGAGGTGAAGGGGCAGCCTGCTCTCACGGCCTGGGGAGAGATGTCCATTTCAGTCCAATAATTCTCTCTGTTACACTGTATTTTCCAGGCTGCCTCAGTGCTAGTCCCTGACTCTGAGCTGGATGCAACCAGCTTCTGATGCTGCAGGAGAAGATATGGACCCTCCTCTTCCCTCAGGAGATATCCCTTGGGGCTGACTTCTAATTTCTAACCCATTCCTTGGGCTGGTTTCCAATTTGAGCCACCAGTTTGCCAAGTTTAAAATATCTCTGGTGTCCTGTAGTGACAGGCCAAGGAGTAATGGGTAGAAATTGAAAGGAAGGAAATTTAGCTTAGATATTAGGAAGAAATTTTTTACTGTGAGGGTGGTGAGACACTGGAGCAGATTCCCCAAGGAGGTTGTGGAGGTTCCAGCCTTGCAAGTGCTCAAAGCCAGGCTGGATGGGGCTTGGAGCTGCCTGGTCTAGGGGGAGGTGTCCCTGCCCATTTTAGGGGCCTTGGCACTAGATGATCTTTAAGGCCCATTCCATCCTTAACATACCATGATTCTGTGGTTTCCTTCCCATGCACTTAGAGGAGCTTTGAAATCCATTCAGTGAAGGCACAAAGCTCATACAGAGTTTGGCAATTACCAAACTACCTGGCCCAGTAGCACAGGACTTTGTTGCCAAAGTCCTCACCTTCTGACACTCAGCACTGTGTTCTGTTTCCACAGACTGAGAGCTGCAAGGTGCCAACTCCCACACAGGGAGAGAAGCAGGTGCTGGCCAAGGGTGCTCCTTCTACAAACACCCTGGGCTCAGTGGGGCTCAGCCACCTCTGCTCTGGTGGTGTCTGGGCAGTGGGAGGTGATCCAGGCTCAGGGAGCACATTTCTAACTCAGCTCCTACCACCTGATGATGCATCCATGTCAAATGGACCCATCCTGGAGGCCAGTGGCCTGGAGGGGCTTAGTGCTTGTTGACTAAAGCTGTTCTGCTCTGGAGCTCTCTGGCCTTTGAGGAAGGTTCAGAGCATCAATGATGAGTGAGCAACACAAGGAGCCAAGGAAACACTCCAAACCCAGCTCAACACACCGCTGGAAGCTCTCAGTGCTCAGCTGATCAGCTCCCTCTCTCCACAATATTCCTACACAAGCTCTTGGTCACATCATGCTGCTGTCAGCTACAGTGGGATGTAACTGCCACTGTGCACTGCTGGCTCTGGGCTTTAGACAGGCCATAGGAGTAACCAAAAAGAGAACATGATCCCCTTCCTTGAAATACACATATTAGTTAAGCTGTTTTGAAAGAAAGCAGAGGTTGGGATTATTCTGGGGTTTACTCCAAGATGAGAAGGGATTTTGCACTGTGCAGACACCAGGCATTCATCATCTCTCACAATGTCAGTACTCAGAACCAGGGCTCTGGTTGATGGGAGCACGTGGCAGTTTGCTTGCATACCAGGGGTCTGAAGGTCACCTTGATTTCAGCCGAACAATTCGGCCCGATTTCTCCCTCCTGCAAGAGAAAGACACAGCAAAACATTTCTCTTCAAACTTCACATTTCTAGTTTTCAACCACAGTCCTGTAAGCCTTGGTTCAGAGCATCAATGATGAGTGAGCAACACAAGGAGCCAAGGAAACACTCCAAACCCAGCTCAACACACCGCTGGAAGCTCTCAGTGCTCAGCTGATCAGCTCCCTCTCTCCACAATATTCCTACACAAGCTCTTGGTCACATCATGCTGCTGTCAGCTACAATGGATGTAACTGCCACTGTGCACTGCTGGCTCTGGGCTTTAGACAGGCCATAGGAGTAACCAAAAAGAGAACATGATCCCCTTCCTTGAAATACACATATTAGTTAAGCTGTTTTGAAAGAAAGCAGAGGTTGGGATTATTCTGGGGTTTACTCCAAGATGAGAAGGGATTTTGCACTGTGCAGACACCAGGCATTCATCATCTCTCACAATGTCAGTACTCAGAACCAGGGCTCTGGTTGATGGGAGCACGTGGCAGTTTGCTTGCATAAACAGAAAAGGAAAAGGTTTTCTGTCCCTGTGTGCAGGAGAACTCAAAAGGCCCATTTAAACCTTCCAGCCTTGTGTCCAGGCTCACAGATGACACTGGAAGGCAGACTGAGAAATAGTGCAAGGCGTGGTTACAGGAGGGGATGGGCATTTCTGTGATTAACCTTGGGCTGAATTTGGCCTCCTTCTCCCAGTGAACATTGCAAGCTTCAGGTCAGTGTGTGAGCTGGCAGTGCTGCAACAGCCTCTGCTGAACCCCACGTGTTGGGGGAGCCCCCACCTACAAGAACTGCTCCCTGTGACACTGCAAGGACACACACGGAGTGCCCTGAGCTCCAGCCCTGGCAGCAGAGCTCGGCTTTGTCAGGCTCCCAGCCTTGAGCCTGCAGGGCAGAAATGCCTTGAGCAGGGAGCTCTGCAGCCACAGCAGAAACTCGATGTCCTCCCTCTCAGCACATGGGGCCAGCTGAGGATCTGCCCAGTGACCACAGCCAGGGGGAAGGGAGCAGGGGTAGGGGGCTTGGGAGGAGCAAGAGGAAGAGGAGGAGGAGGAAAATGAGGTTCTCAGCTATCACTTACCATTGGCTCAATGAAAAAAAAGTCATCAGAGAACAGCAAGGGGTCTTCTGGCATCTTTATCAAGTTCTGGGCTATGTTGCTCGGGAGGGCACTGAGATTATCCCAAGAGCCCTCCTCCTCTTTTTTCTTCTTCATTAAGTTGTCCAGATACAACACTCTTGGCATCAGCGGCAACTGCTGCCTGCAGCCACAGGAAAGACAAGGACAGCAGATGGTTTAATAAGCCACATATTTGCAGAGAGAAGTGTGAGTGCAGGAGAGCAAAGCACTTGGGGAGGAGCAGCAGCAGCTCCCCAGCAAGGACTGACCCCAAGCCATGAGGGTCCCAGATGATCACAGGATAACTTGTTCACTGGCACAGCAGTTAGTTTTACTCCACACTTGCAAGCTCAGAAGATGTTTCCAAAGCAGCATCCCTCCAGAGAACCTCCTGGCTCAAAGCCTCTGCCATAACTGAGGGAGAACCCACCAGCCACTTCAGGTGGCTTTTCCTACCACTGAGCTGCTTGGGGGAAGCAGATAAAGATCATGGAGCAGGACTTCCCTGGGAAGGGGAGATGAAGCTGGGTTGCAGCTACGTGTTACCAGCATCACTCTTTGTTTCTTCCATTTTGGACCTGCCCTGTTCCCTACTCTGCCTTTCACAAGAGCATCCCAGAGCACTTCCAAAGGAAATGGATGAATTCAGGCACCACATCCCTTCAGTGACATTCAAGGTTTTATGTGCATGAAAACAGAGGCTCTGAGAGGGGAAGGGACTTTGTTGTGCAGGAGGGAGACAGCAAACTCCTGGAGAGACATTTTCATGATGCAGAGCTTTTTGGGTCCCATCCCAGTGCATGGTAGTAGAATGTCCTGAAAGGGAAAGGATCCTGCACTATCTCCCCTCATAAAAAGTCCTCTTTGCTCTGAGATCTCAAAAGCTTCTCTGACAGCAGGACAGTGGCCTTGGAACTAAAACCACTCCTATGACTGGAAGTAAGGAAGAACAAAATGCCCTAGTGACAGTCTAGGACACAGACTGCCATAAAAACAGATGTAATTGGAAAAAATCCAAAACCAGATTGAAGTTTATGTTGGGGAAACGTAGTTGCTTCTGAGGGGAAAGTGGATCACCTGGGGTCCAGGCTGAGGCAGGCAAGTGGGAAAAAATGGAAATAAACAGCCCAGGGAAGTAGCCAGAGAAGGTCATGGGCTTTTAACACACAGAGCTTGTATGGAAGTCACTGTGTAAGGAGATAGAGAGCAGTGGAAAACCGAGAAGCCCAGGGCACTAAAGGACCCTCTCACCAGCCATTCAAGCAGGCAAGGGTCAACCTCCTGGTCCTTTGCAGGCAATTTAAAATGGCTCTGGGGAGTGCGAGCGACCTGGCCCACAGCAAACAGGGGCTTGCCATGGCAGCTCTGGCCCAGCAGTTTTGGCACGACATTTTTCAGTTTTTGTGTGGCAGTTTGTGCAAGCAGACTGAGCAGTAAGGGTGCAGCCACCCACCCTCCTTGTGTAGTGGGTTGTGTATATTGGCTGGTTGTGAGGTGCGAGCCTTTTTTTTTCCTTCTTTCTTCTTTCTGCCTTCTTTTTTTTCCCCAGCAATGGTTTAACCTTGATGAAAAGCCATTGCTGCTGCTGCTGCCAGCAGGAGTGTACTAACTCAAACAGAACTCCCCAGGAAGGACGCAGCTGTCCAGGCCCCTGGTTGCAGGGAGGGTCTGAACCTGTTGTTAATATCAGAGGATAGTGTGAAAGACACCTGCGTGTGGTGTGAGCAGCTGAATTATCTGCTCTGTCCGGTAGCAGAACTTAAGGCATGTGGGCAGCAAAAGGAGGCCCAGAGGAACAAGTGAAGTGACAGCCCACAGCAGTAGGGGAAACAGGTGAGGAAACACAACCAGCCTGGCTCTGCAATATGACAAATCACTATGAAATGAACACCATGAAAATCATCATCATCATCATCTCCCTGTGCAAACCCACAGCCACATCAGTCTTGAAGTATTTTCTATTGTTCTGATCTCAAAAAACAAGCTGCAGCATTGCAAATTAAATTAAAAAGGGACAAAGGAAAGATTAGTAAGTACAGAACAGCTTCTGTGTGAAGACTGAATGGGATTCCTCAGTCTAGACATCAAATGGGAGATAGATGTGAGAGGTTTGTAACAGCATGAACGGCCTGGGAAATGGGGACAGGGAAACATTTGTTTTGATTAGTACAAAAAAGGAACTTGAGGGCCTGAAAATGTTATTAGACAGAAACTACATATATGTGTAAGGGCAACATGGAAGAAGGGTCTGTGACAAGCCAGTGGAGAAACACCATACAGGACAGAGGGATGCAAGAAGTCCATTGCATTGGAGACAGTCTGATGGAGACCTCACATACAGCACTGCCCAGGAATAACATAAAACTTCACCCAGGCATAGCCACATGGTAGTGGAGAATCAGGGATCCTCCTTCCTCCACTCAGCAACTCCCAGCAAAACAGGAGTCAAAAATCTTAGCCCGTTAGAGGGGATCCACTTTATCCACCCCCTAAACACCAAGGAGTTCTCAGTTTGCTTTGGGGTAAAGCTGAACAGGGGAGGTACCTCTGGAGGGAATGGAGGGGGAGGGACAACAGGGAACAATGGTGGAGAACTGTCCTGTGCCCCTGGAGGGCCCAGCACTCACCTGTGTTGCAGCACGCTGCCAGGAACCCAGAATGTTCACCGTTTGTCAGCGGGTGAAATCCCACTGTCACCTCCATGGTGTCACCAGCGCCCAGAGTTCCTGTGGCTGGAACCACGGAGAAAGGACTGCAACACAAAGACAGGGATCAGGGCTCGGGGACACCTGGGCATGAGACTCCTCCTGCAGTGCAGCTCACTTCAGCTCTCTTGGGCAAGCAGGGAGCAAACCAACCACAGCCAGCAGAAGACAGAACAGACAGCATCAGAAACAGCCACGGAGCCACTGCTGAGGAGATCCAGCCCTCACAAGATCCTCTGGGCAAAACGACCTCATCTCCCCATACTCTGCATCCAGCTCTCCGCAACGAGACTCAAGGGTCTGACTGCCAGCAATCCCACCAGAGAATGGTTTGTGAAGAGCACAGAGAGGGTCCAGAGCTCTCTGCATGCCCAACTTGACACTGACTGCCTCAGGAATTTCTCTTTTCCTACTGCCTATAAACCTCATCTGAAGAGATGAAAATGTTAGGGCACAACCTGTCCTGGGAGATTACAGCCTAGGAATCAGACAGGGAGAAGGAACTTTTCCTTGAAGACCAAGGAATAGTCACTGTTGAATTTGCAGTGTGGTTCTTTTGTTAATTTAGCTTGAAAACACCCTGATTTAGCCTAAAAAGGGCACATTTTATCAGCATTTCAATGAAAGCTGCTCTAAGAAAAGGAGCAGTCAAAACTCTGAAAGAGTGGAAATGTAGATTAGAGCAATACAGTGACATGGAAACCCAAAAGGAGGATGCCATTTACAATCTGAAGGATCCAATCCCAGCTGAATGAATGAGCAGGAGCACATCAAGGAGGCAGAACAGGAGCTTTCTGTGTGTTTACCAGCAATGCAGTCTGGGACTCTGGGTTGTCATCCAGGTTTGGCCCAGCAGAGAAACTCTGTGCAATGTGTTGGAAATGTTTATGCAAATGTGTTGGTGCACGTTGGATTTAACAGGAGCAATCAGGATTGGTCACCAGGTAAAGAGCTCTTGCCTGACAATCACAAGACTCCGTGCTTTGATGCTCAGGGACTGCTCAGGGGAAGTGTGCTTCTGCCCAGCAGCTGCTGGGCTTTGTGCTCTTCTACAGCCCCACTGAGGAAACAAAAGTTCCTGGCCTTGGTGCTTTGCTGGTGGTCAGTCTGTCACTTAAAAGTGTGTTCTGGGGAGTTTGGTGATCAATGCAGCACACACAAAAATAAAGAGAACATCTGGCAAGCTGAGCTTTATTCATGGCACTTGCTTCAGGTTCTGCTCATTAAGGATTTATTGCTGCAATTATGGGCCTGACCTGTTCCCATTCCCACTAGTGAGAACATCACTACTGGCTGATGGAGAAGCCTTGGGCCTGCATTGTTTATGTGCTGGATGTGAGACTTTGGAGGGAGGGGAGGAAAGACAAGGCTCCAGCAGCCCCAGAGCCAGATCAGTGCACGTGCTCCTGCATCTGTCCCGGCGATGATGCCACGACTGCTGCAGCTCTCTGCTGGGGCTCAGGGGGGGCAGTGCCTGGTGTGGGCAAGGCACAGGATTTTTTTCTTATTCTTTTACCAGAAATTTCACCAGAACAGAGAAGCTGCCAGTTAAGGGAATCCCTGGCCACACTTCAGCACTACCTTCCATTCCATTCCATTCCATTCCATTCCATTCCATTCCATTCCATTCCATTCCATTCCATTCCCACTGCTGCCCCATGTTACATGCTCCTGCCCTCAGATGGCAGGATGGGAATAACACACCTGGGGGTGACTTCAGGGGTTGCCTGAGAAAGAAGGGATCTTCCTCTTTTCAGTTTATCAGGACAAGAGGATCCAGCCAAGTCCAGGACTCAGTTTCAGGACTGAAAAACTGAGTGCAATTCAGCCCTGCATCTCCTACCCTGGGCTGTACCCACCAGACTCCTCTGGTCCTGCTGTAGCAGTCATCTCTCAACTCCTCTGCCTTTCAGCCAACATCACTAAGCTGTTCCCTGAGCCCACAGATAGAAGAGCTGTGAAGGAGACATCCCTGACACTCTAATAACCAAATGAAAACCACTGCCAAGAGATGGGGCTGGCAGGCTACATTTTGGCCTTTTATCTGTCAATTGTGAGCTGCTCCTTAAGACAGTTCTCATCCTGTGAGATCTGCCCTTTCAATGAATCACTACTGCACCCGACAGACAGAAAAGTTAAGCTATGGAGAGGGTTTTAATAGGTTGTTTTCTTCTGCTTTTGAACTAGATCCATTTGTTTGTTTGTTTTCCTGTATGGCATCTAAAGACAGGTCCACATCTCCCAATGGCACCTTGCAATCCCCAGACACTGGGCCTGCTTTGAGCAGTGTGCCTGCTCAGATGATTTCCAGCAGAAGTAATTTTTTACTTATATCTTCCAAATCAGCCCAACTGCTTCTCACATATTCCCTAAATGTCTCCTATTTCCTATACACCTGTGCATATACCTATGGGCATGTGGTATATTGACAAGCATTAGAGGAGCTCGAACTTCATGACAGTTCCCAATGAAGAATTCATGATCTTTTGGCAAACATTTAACACAACCCAAAATGAAAAAACAGCAGAAACACAGGAACTTCAGAGTATTCAAAAAGAAATCTCAATGGAAGGGGGCACAACCTTATGCAGAGATTTAAGTCATGTGCTTGAAATTTTAAACTGGCTTTCAAAGGTGCATCATGGAACAGAAGAGGTGACTGATGCCCTCAGCTGACAAGGGAAATCAGATCAGCTTTAGTAACAGGAACTGCACCGGCTGCCCACAGCACAGCTCATGTTGGGCATCTGATGCAGGGAGCACTGGAAAGCCACGTGCCTGTGGCCTCCCAGAGAATGGCTCTGTTTGGCTGACAGTGCTGAGTCAGCAGTTCAGAAGCTGCTTGTGCTCAGGAGGGTGCAAGCCAGCTACCAACATGTTCCAGTACGCCCTAGGACAACTAGGACACAGAAAGCTCAAAGGCTGCATCCTGCTAAGAACACCATCCATCCATGCTAAGATGCCATCCATCCTGCTCTCTCCAGCCAGGGCTGCAGGGCAGCAGCTCTGATGCTCTGCTTCCTTTTGTTGCTCTCTCCCAACTCTGCTATCACCCAAAGGTGATATCCTTTGCACAAGAACAGATGAGCTGCCTCACCTCTGGGTGCTCAGCTGGTAATGAGCTTCCAGGTTACCGACATTGCGAACCAGCAGAGTCTTCTTGTTGCTGTGATTGACTGGACACGTGGAGAAGTCCAGCTGGTCAGGGAAGACCAGGACAGCTCGGGCACAAATGGCCCGAATTGGCACAACGATCTTTTCCTTTGCAGTGAGGCAGACGAGCTCGTGGGAATAATCCTGCAGGAAAAGAAACTTGCTCAGCATTTTGGGCATTTAGTACCACCCTCATGGCAGAAGAAAAATAATTTCCTAAAACTGATCCATGGCATCAATTTACCTATTCCACCCTAAAAGGAACACTAAGTTCTACTAACATGTCACAATTTAAAGGCACCAGTGCACTTTGCAAAACCTATCTCTGTGGAATTAAGCTCTTGTGTCACTTGGGTCATACAAAGAACAGCCCTAGGCCACCATAATTTTTACTCTAAATTTTAATGACGTTAAACTATTCCTAAGTTACTTCTAAGGAGCACGGAGCTAGGGAACACAGGACATTCCTCTTTAGGTTTCTATATTCCCACTGTCTGAGAATAGGACAAAGTGTTAATCTGACTCTAAGCAGTAAAGGAAGATGAGAAAACAGCTGCACCCAAAGAGATCCTGCACCTCTGGCCTGGTGTAGAAACATCAGCTGGCTCAGAACTCCCCTCTAACTTTGCCTCTCCAAGCAAGTCAGGAGAAGAACAGTGCTAAGAGGTAGCAGGATGCTGTTGGAAAGAGCCTCTCTTTGTTTCCCTGCAAGGCTTCCTCCCTGCCATGCCATGTCCTAAACCCTTCTGTATGAACAAGCCTCCGGATCCCAGCACTGAGATCAGACTTGCCAGGGCCTCAGCACTGGTGTTCAAACCTCCACGCAAAAGCACCTTTGGCACGGAGTGGGTGCCAGCTGACAGAGCAACCACAGTGACAGGCATGAAGACAGAGCCACAGCAGTGTCACTGCCATGGGCTCTGGGCTCACAGGTCTGCCTGCAGGTTGTGCCTGCCCTACACCAGCTCTTTCAGGCAGGTGTCCAAGTCCCCTGCAGCTCACCAAACTCCTGCTGACCAAGGGCACCCAGAGGCCAGTGTGCCTGTGCCAGGCTGGGCCCACGGGCACAGCACATGCTCTGCCCTGGCCCTGCAGCTGTACCATGGTCAGCTGTGCTCTGGGACAGCAGAGCTGCAAGGCTGGAGAACAGAGGCTGTGAAAAAGAATCGTCTTTGCTCCAGCCCAGGGGGAGGCAGGGAAGCTGTTGGCAGTCAGGAAGGAGGAAAGCTCTCTGACCTCTTTGTTCCTCTAGTGTTTTCCATAATATTGAAACCCCTTCCACTGAACCTAGAGATGGCCGAACATCTGTCAACAGCCCTCTGTCATTTTCATACTGTTCCCTGGGCATCTTCCCTTGGCAATGCTCAGGAATGTGCAGGGAGGGGAAGCAGAGCCTGGCAGGCCTGGGTGCAGTGCCTGACAGCACGTGCCAAGGTGTGACTGGCTGCAGGCTGCCTGCCCACAGCCTGGAGCCAAGCTCACAGCATGGAATGGGCTGCAGCCAGAGCGCAGGGAAAACAATGGCTTTGGAGAGAATTCTGTGTTTGGGCTCCTCCAGTCTCACCTTGGTCTCCTCGGGGGTGAAGCGGATGCGCACACGGGCGGAGGCGCCTGGTGGCACGATGTGGTACACATCACTGGGGCATGCCAGCTGGAAATAAGGCGAGCTCTCCATGCAGATCTTCACCATCCGAGGAATCTGCAGCAAAGACGTGAAATGATGATTTTGCCACTTGTGGAAACAGGACGAGAGGAGACCTGTCCATGCCCTGGTGTCATCCCTCCTTGGCCCCTTTTCCAAAGCTCTTTCAGCTGGGGAGGTACAGGCACATCATTTGCAAGAGTGAGCTTGAATCCCTTCTGTCTGGGTCCAGCATTTTGGCCAGGGCCAGTAGGGCAAGGCCTGGTGGGAAGGAAGGGCCAAGCAGGTCAGCACCAGCAGGATGGAGACAGAGCACCTGAACCAAGTCATCTGCATATTCAACAGGGCCAAAAAACCTGCTGGCTTCTGCCTGCACACAGCCATGCAGTCGTGTTCCAGAGGGGGAATGTGCTACCTGAAAGCAAACCAGCACATTGTCCTGGGGGAAGGAAGAAATTCTCTTCTAGCAGATCAGGTTTGGGTAGGGATGTTCTGGGGATACAGTCATGCAGGCAAACTAGCAAGAGAGGAGACCAAACACTGGGACCTTACTGGGAATAAAAGCAAATCTGAAAAGCAAAAGAAGGAACAAAGCAAGACAATCCCTAAAACAAGGAGATGGCAAAGAGAATTTAAATGGGCAGTAAAGCAGCAAGGAAGAATCATAAAACCATGAGAGCAATCCGCTTGCCAAAAGTGACAGAAACACAGACAGGCTGTGCCTATGGACTATGGGCTTCAAAGGCATTTTCTGCCTGGAGAAACATGACCAGCACTGACTGACAGTGTGGTTCCAGTATGAAAAGCCAATCTTGGCACTGCAGGGCTTCTTGCTGCCCTTGCAGGCAAGCTGGGCTGCTGGGCATTCCTGCCTGCAGCCAGCAGGCCAGGTTCTGCCCTCTGGCATTCACAGACACAGCAAACATGCATTTTCTAGCACACTGATATCACCAACTCCTGAGCACCAAAATGCTCTCCAAAAGTCTAAACCAGATGATTTTGACTCCCTCCTGTCTCTTCCCAACAACCCACTCTTGGCACAAGGCTCATTGGAGAAAATGTTTCCCTGACTGAAATTCCAATGGTCTATGTTTTCCTCTTTACACTGGAACACAACTGGTGACATTTTTCAACTTTTTTCCACAAAACAATCACCATTTCTTCAAGTGACGGTGAAAACCTCCAGGGGCACATGGCTTTGGATGTGCTGTGGCTCTCCAAAGGGAAAGCAGAATACCGTGTTGCTTTTGGAAAAGCTGAGCAGAGCTGGATGAAGCTTAGCAGGAGCCTGAAGTGACACCTAAAGGCCTCCCACTACTTCTGCTACATCAGTCTGATTCCAGGGCTGTTTCAGAACACGTTTCCTGCAGTGCCAATGCCATTAATGATAAGTGATTCCAGCATAAAGTGGAGCAGACTCAGCCCCTGAGCTTTGACTGTGCACAAAGGGAGCTAAACAGGCTGAGAGAGGCAGAGATTCCTACCAGGAGCCAAGATTAACCAAGGAGACACAGGGTGTGGTATAGACGCAAGGCAAAGCTTGAGGGCAGGTAAGAACTGTACAGGCATCAACATTCCTATCAATCCAGAGCTTTCAAGAGAAGGAAACTCCTTTGAGATAGACACCATCAATGCATGGCCAAAATTAGGGGACAATTCCCCACACAGGAAGATTTCCACCATCGTGCAGAACAAAGGTGCTGAGACATTTTCTTCTGGATGTGCTGCAACAGCTAACTTGCTTTGCTCTACACTCAGGGAATGACACCACTCTCCTCTTCCAGCACAGTGTTAAAGCTCCAGGTGCCAGCACTTACCTTGTCCTTATTCATGATAGACAGTACCATTTCAGAGACCTCATGAGCGACGAAGTTCTGAAATAACATCTCTGTTGGAGAAATCCGAAACAAGCTCTTTTTCGGGGCTTCTGGTGGCAGCTGGAGAGGTGAGAGAGAGCAGGGAGAGCTTCAGCTGCTGGGACGAAGGTTCATGAAGGACAATCTCACACTGATCCCCAGTGAAGCACAGGCTCTGGGTGAGCACGTCTGAAACAGTGGCTGCCCACCTCTGCTCTGAGTGATCAAGAGCTGCTGGGTCACACAGAGCAGGCTCAAGACAAGCTGCTCTTTTGGCATGTATTTATCCAGCTTTCCTTCTCCAGAATGCCAGGCAGCACTTACCTTTAGCACAGCCCTGTGCCCACTGGACACTGACTGAACACTCATGGAGTAAGTAAAACCCACAAATTTACATCAGACTCTATGGGAAACAATTTGGGGATGTCCTTTACTCTGAGACAGGGAAACTGAGGCTCACACAACTACAAATACCTATTTTGACCTAGAACTTAGGCATCAGTAAGAAGAGAACAGTACCAGAGGAGGTGTGAGAGATGAGGTGATATTTGGCTGAAGCCAAAGGGTTATTAAGCGAAACAATGGAATTTGTTGGTTCTATGTGTTGTTTGTGGTTTGGATTTGTTCAGGTTGGTTTGTTGGTGCTGTGGTGAGCTGGGAGACCAATGGGGTTGAAGACCTGACCAAAAGGAAGGAGGATGAGAGGGAAGGGGAGGCGAGTCTCCTGAACATCTGGCAGCCTGCAAAATCTAACACCCCATCAGGGTCCCAACACATTGTTCCAACCCACAGCATTAATGCAATTTGTTTTGTTACATCTGAAGTAATTCCTGCAGCTCCTCGGCCTTCAAAGGCCAACGCTGCCACTGTGGAGGGAATCCTGTGACCCCGAGCATTTGATGGTGACCACACCAAAACAAGAGGTGGCTCCTTCAGCAGGAGAATGGCAAATGGCAATTTTGAGCCTTTGTGTCCCCCCCATTGTTTTAGCAATGGCAGCTACACTGCAGCACACCCCAGCAGCTTCAGCAGAGGTTATTTGTGTTGGCTTAGTGCACATCAGGACTCCCAGTCCACCACTCCCATCAGTTTGCAATGACAACAGGACCTGGACACTGAGGTATTTCGCTGGAGGCAAGCCTGTCACAAGCACACACCCTCTTCAAACTTCACATCAAACAGAAAGGAAAAGAGCAGGAAAAGGCTACCTTTGGACCAGTCTCACTCAGGTCTATACATGGGCCAGTTCTGGGCAGAAAACTCCCCCCAGTGCTGGCCTCCTGCTTCGTGTTGAGAAACTTCTCCCTCTGGAACTTAGAGGGAAGCACCTGAAAGGCAAAAAAATCCAAAACAAAACAAACCAGTAAGAACCTCAGAGATGTTCTTGTTCAGAAAACCTTTCCTTGGACAAGTGGCACTGGTGAATAATTTGTGATCACAGCCACCAGGACAGTTCTGGAAGCCCTGGAGCTTCAGTCCTTTCCGGGACAAAAGACGAGCTGTTGGTGTCCTTCCTGAGAATCCAGAAGCCATTCTGAAGGGAGGATGTCGCAGATGAGCGACAATGCCTCAACAAAACTGGAAGGAACAACAATGGAACTCTGAAAATCCAGAATCCAATTCATGGCAGACTCAAGGGATATACTGGTGCTAAAGATTTTATATGATCTGAAAGTAGCTAAGTGCTTGTTTGGCATAAGTAGCTAGTATTGTTAGGCCTCTAGCTGGACTTTATTTGGACTATATAGCTGCCTTGTGCAATTCAAAGATGGATGGTACTGAAACCTGGAGCTAAAATATTAAACATTAATAATACTTAGAACAGAAAAAGCTGTAGCTTAAATATTACTTAAAAACAGCTTGAGTGGACCTCCTCTTCTTTAGGCTAAACAACCCCTGCTCTCTCAGCTGCTCCTCACTGGACTTGTGAGAGACTGGAATGTTATGGCTAATGGCTTAAATATTGCTACAAAGGACTTTTTGCCCATTGTGACACAACTGAATGTGAGATACAAAGTTGTGCTTCGTGTAAGGTACATACAGGTAGTGTGTGTACTTGTGATTGTGATTTGTATGGAAACTGATCACGGGACAATTAAAAGATGAATTCTAAAAAATAACTGCGGGAGTAAAGCATGGAAAAAGGCCTTGGAAATTATCCTGTGTTTGCAAATAGCATCTGAATTAAAGTTTTAAGAATGTTGCTGCTGGACAGGAACTTTCTGCACGTAGCTAAGCATTTAAACAGCTTTGCAATAATAATTTTTTTTAAATATTGCTTGTAATAAGGAGCTTTAAAAATATAGGTTTAGAATGTATGTAAAGGAAATATGCTTATCTCAACACCTTAGCAAAACAGTAAAAAGCAGCTTGAGAAAGGAAGTTGAACATCAACTCAAGGATTGATAGCTTCACCAAGGGAAGCTGGACATCACCGTCATGAGATTTATAGTCTTTGCAAATAAAAGGTGGAGCCACATCTGGAGTCTGGACCTCACCAGCTGAAAGACTTCTTACTTCTTTGGGAAATCGAACCCCACCATCTGGGGATACTATTTCCTGGGATACATCCTGAGAAAAACTAACTCACAATAGTGTATAGAATTGTGACGTAAAAATTGGGAATAGAAACTGCCGGGAATCGAAACTGCTGAGAAAGCTGTGTGTACCCCTATAAATACCTGTAAGCCTCAACCATCGGTGTGCAGTTGGAGGGAAAACTTCCCCCACTGTACCCAGAGCTGTTTTGCTCATACTTTACCATATTAATTAATAAATTGATTGTTGCTTGAATATTGGCCTAGTCAAGCTTCTTACTTATAACATTTCTCCCTCTCTCTTCCTCACATTGCCTGTTACATAAAATCCAGACTATTGACTTTGGCATATGGTCTCATTTTGCACCTTAATTCAGGGGCATCTCCTTAATAATTTTAATAACCAGATCATAACAACCCACTGAAACTCGAACAGAACTCATTCACTTTTAAACAGTTTAAGTAAATACTATAGCAAAAAAATTGTATAGACTAGTATATTTAGGAAACGTTGCATTTCTTCAGTGAGGAAAAAGCACCATCAGTAGACCATCTATTGTTCATCCCCTCAGCTGTACATGCCACCGAACTGAAGACTGGCATTATCCCATCCTGTATTTCCCTTTGGCATTCTCTTTCAGAGCACAGATGTGACAGAACCAGAAAGTACAACTTGAACCAATCTTTACCTTCAAACGAAATTCTGGACTCCCTCACAAAGACCAATGCTTTGCGAGTTCAGGACTCCCTCACAGAAACCAATGTTCTGCGAATTTAGGAGTCCTTCACAAAGAACAATGCTTTGCGAGTTCAGGAGTTGCTCGCAGAGACCAAATCTCCGCGAATTCTCAGCACTCGTTCACAGAAAACAACGTTCCGCGAACAATTCACGTGGCGAATCGCCGAGTGCAGCCGCCTGAAGGCGCCGAGGCTGCGAACGAGCAGCCAGGGCCGAGCTCGGGGCGCTGAGGCCGCAGCGCCGTCACAGACGCTGCGGGCCCGGGCGCGGTTACCAGGCAACCGCGGCACCGAGTGCGGGGCCGGGCCGGGCCGCACCGACTGGCAAAGGAGATTGTCACTTTTGCTACTGGCTTGACTTCAGTGCTTTCTGAAGAGTCTTTCTGTATTTATGAAAGTTTAAAATGTGGTGATAAAGGCACCTCTGGCAGGTCTATACACTGCTCTTTGCATAGCACTAGTATTCTATCCTGGCTGGGGCCCCAGGAGGGGCTGAGGGAGCTGGGAAGGGGCTCAGCCTGGAGAAAAGGAGGCTCAGGGGGGCCCTTCTGGCTCTGCACAACTCCTGCCAGGAGGGGACAGCCGGGGGTCGGGCTGTGCTCCCAGGAACAGGAGCAGAGGGAACGGCCTCAGGCTGGGCCAGGGCAGGCTCAGGGTGCACACCAGCAGGAATTTCCCCATGGAAAGGCTGCTCAGGCCTTGGCAGGGGGCTGCCCAGGGAGCTTTGGAGTGCCCATCCCTGCAGGTGTCCCAGGAAGGGCTGGAGGTGGCACTCAGGGCTGGGGACAAGGTGGGCATCGGGCACAGCTGGGACTCCATGGGCTGGGAGGGATTTTCCAACGTCATTGGCTCTCTGACGTGAGGTACATTTTACATATGGAACAGACAAAGCAGAAATTTTATGTACTAGATAGTAAATGGGTAGAATGGTCACTTTATTACCACTGTTCCATAGAAGCACTGATTGCTTTTTCACCCCACATAGATCTGAAACAATTACAAAACAGATCGAAAATCTACTTGGGTATTTTTAAAACACAGGAATTGAAAAAACAAGCTGGAATATAAAGAACACAATTTTAGAAGTTTGATGACAAAAATATGCTTCAGTGCCCTAAAGAAATGCTCCCTGACAGGGGCCCTAGCTTTTCCTCGATGGAGAGGGTTATGCTGTGCAGTCCTGGGATGTGGTTGGGAATGGTGTTCCAAGGAAAGAAGTGCACACTTACTTACCAGAGTAACATTGGTGGCACTAAATCTTTGGGGACAGTAGAGATCTCAGCAAAGGTTTTTGTGTGTGTTCACCTTCTTGCAGAAAATGCAGAGGGAATTTAAGAAATATATTGTGCAAAAGAACAACAGCAGAGATTATAAATGCTGGTATGATGAAATTTAGTTACATGTCAGAAAACACGGAACAAGGACAAGTACCACGCAAAGGAACTTTTAGCCATTTCCTGTGCAATATTTTACACTCAGCCTGTATTTCCAGGTCTCTGCAAGTCAGTAAAGGCCTTTGTGTGTCACAGACCTGACTCTTTGACTGGATTTGTTTTATAAGATAATTTTTTATGTTGCTCACCTCATCATAAACAGGAGGGCTGAAGCACAGAGGTATACACCAAATCCCAGTGAGTGGAGTCACAGGTCTTACCACTCCAGATAGCCTTGTGATATGAGTTTAAAAAAAAAAAGAAAGAAAAAAAGTTTCTAAAGCATGTAAAGGAAAAGTAAAAACAACTTGAAGTTGAAACCTGTGATTGCAGAGGTGCGTTGTGTTTCTGTGTATTGAGAATTAAAGGCAGTGCAGAGGAAGTGAGAGAAGAGGTGCTGCATTGAAGCTGGGACTGAAGGAGACCCTGGGAGCTCTAAGGAGACACCAGGGCTCTGATAGCAGGTGAGAAACTGTAAAGTGGAATATTAATTTCCTGGGATTTGAATAGAATCAGACTGACCCAAGCCCTGTGAGTTCCAATAAAACATCCAGCTAAATTTGATTAAAAGAGAGGGAGTAGGGGAGGAATGAAAAAGAAAACTACAGAAACCACCAAACATCAGACAAGCAAACCAGCCACATTCTTTCTGTAGGCAAAG